TTCCTAGCGAACATCCGGTATCACTAACTTCAGGTTTACATGAACATTACAGTTCCAGTTTGTTCTTTAGAGCAATCATAGTTTCTATCATAATACGTTCCACTTAAGATCTCTCATTACAATATATCTTGTAATGAACTTTTAGTTTTTTGTTCTGTTCGTGCCGTTTACGCCTTTCCTTTAAAATGTGATCAATTCCGCAATTCGCCAGCAACACAAGCAAAAGAAAACATCAAGTTAGTCTAAGGTAAAAGGCGTTTGTCCTAATTGTACACGTAGTTTGTCGCAGTCGTCGCCTTGGTAGCACCGGTTTACCAACTAAGGTGGGGTGTGCCACGAGTCATACATCAGCATCTGACTATCCTCACGTTTCATATTGGTGTAGGTAGCCTGAAGGTGCACGCACGCGGGAGAAAAGTTGTAACGATGAAGGCGGCCCAACCTAGGGGGGTCTGGGGGCATACTCCCCCAGAAAAGTTTTAAATTTAGATACTCAGCAAGGCCATTTCCAGCGTTTTTTTGCAGGACATTTTCAGTAAATTAATATGCAGGAAAATGCAGTAGCAGCGTAGTTGTTTATTTTACCCATCTCTGGTGTTGTTGGTAAGATTCAGTGTTTATGGGAAAAAAGAGGCCAGTGAAGCCGTCAGAATTATGGGGTAATGAAGGGATAAAGCAAACACTAACACAAACACACCAACAGTGCAAAAAATGTACCTATTTAATGATAAAAAAATGCATTTTTAGGAAATAAAAAAAGATTTTCTTTGTCTAAACTGTCTATGTACACACGCACGTATGTTCGTTTATGGATGATACGCTCCTGAGATCTCTTTGAGCAAAGATTGGCTTGACCAACAACTAGTACCTACAGAATTCCACAAGACCAGGATGAATAGAGAATCTTTGTCGCTAGCGTATGAACCGACAACAGCTTACAAAATGCTAATATACATGTAACTTGCAAAAGGTGTAGCGACAGAAAATTTGAAGAGTCTATCATGGCTGTACAATTTGCAGTAATTTATTTCCATGCAGTCTACAGGGATTGTGCTTCCTTGATTTTGGACGATTCGACTTGCTAGCTTTAAATCACAGATCAGAGCTTCTCCCTGGCAGAATATTTAATCAGAGCCACGAGCTTCATCAAGTTGCTATATCTTTCATGGCACTAGCTACTTTACGTTTGAAAGTAATTTGCATTTAGTGGCTTGAAAGTGAAGTTTTGAATGATATTTTTGGGATCTGTTAAAGGAATTTTAGTATAAAGGCTACCATATATAGTGTCTTGAGGCTCATCAGTACAACGTGCAAAGTGTCAAATACCAAGTGCAAAAAAAAAGGCAGGCTATGAGAAGAGGATTTTGTCACTTAAAAGAACTGCGTCTCTTAACAAGACATCTTTGTTAAATATTTCTTTAGGATGCCTGGCTTCATCACCACACGACAGGTTTAGAAAGAGAGCAATTAGCCACTCTGGTAAAGGGCAATGTCAATTATGTACATTTTTTTCCAGAATCCGTATTCGGCAAGCAAAGACTTTGACTAATTCTTTAGCTCAGTCATAGCTCCAACAAACTGAGTCAATAGGTCAACAACCAGAGAGTAGATAATGTGCTAAAAAAGACAACATGAGATAAATATTTTTAAATTCAAGGAAAGCATCCACAAAAAAAGGACTGCCTGATCGCAGGTTCGGCAAAACAACAGTCTGAAAAGACCAAGTGTCAAAAAACTTTCATAAAGCATTTTCTCATCGAAAAGAAGTGTTGTCAGAAGCCTTCAATTAATTGAAGGGCTGAGAAAAAATCGCATTATGGGTGGAATCAAGAGCTGCAGCAGACTGGGTATAAATCGAACCTCCATGTGCGATTAGCTCTCGTAAGCGACCGTCTCCCATAAGCGACCGCCAATCCAAAACAACAAAATTTTCCTAGTCAAAGCCTTACAGTTGGAATCTCTTGTAAACTACCACCTCCTTAGTATATAAGCGACCGCGACCACTTTCTGAGCCTGACGGTTAAAGATTTTCCATTGTTTTTAACCCCTTGTAAGCGACTACTTGACGCATTCTCTGATCTCTATTTTTCGCTGTATGCCCTATCTTACTTAGAACATACCAAGAACTTTAGTGACAACATGCAATTTGATATCCTATGTGCCTGGACCTTTTCTCGGAAGAAACCCCCCTGGCCCCTGTGGTTCGATTCTTGTAAACGACCAAATCCCATAAGCGATCACTCAGTCTTTGCATTTTGGTTGGTCGCTTACGGGAGGTTCGAGTGTATATCCAATATGATGTCTACAATAGGTATGTTTCAGGGGGCTGAAAAAGTGCAAAAGACAACCAACCTTCGATTTTGGGTGTGGTCATTTGGGGTTTTATACCCGGGTCCGGGTCAACCCATTTTTTCGCGGGAAATCTAGTGCCGCAAAGATTCTGGGAACGAGAATCCATTGTTGTGCAATGGAAGCCATGATCATCGAAATTGAGGAGAAAATGGTAAAGTTTGTTGGCAAAAATTCCTGCAAATGGACTATTCTATGAAACTATCAGTGGAAATATGACGTTCCTCGTTCTGTGGCATTTGTGGCCAAATTAATTCACCGGTGTAGCTGCAAATCACTGGAATGTTGACCACGTTTTGCGCTGTGTATAACCACTGGCTTTAAAATTTAAAGGATTCGGCTTTATGCTTACAGGTAAACGTTTATCTATTTTCCCTTTATATTTAAAGAAAATATTTAGTTATATTCTTTTAAGAAGAGTTTTCCTTGTCTGAAAGTTTAGTTTCAGCAAACATGGAATGTTTGTTTTCTAATTAATTCAGTAAATTAACGGTCAGTGTAAAACACAGACTGCGGTCTGTTGTTTTTACCATGCAAATGAGCAGGTGACAACAATAGTCCCACTGTTTTCTAATCCTAAAAACAATATTCTGCGGTCAGTCCGCAGTCGGCATTTTACACTGCCCTGTAAATTAATGCTTGAAGCAGGAAATTTAAAGTGAAAGTGTTTTTCGCTTTAAACTCCTGAGCTTTCATCAATCTTAAATTTGATATTGTTTGTAATATTTCTATTTGTATGGAATTTCTGGGAATACACATTCATAAAATGAATATTACAGTTAAAACCTTTATCTCTGACCACTTCGCTTTTATATGATTATCTCCAACATTTAACAATTAGTTCATGTATTAGTGTTGAGATATTAAGTACGTGGGAAGTTAAGAGAGTACATTAGAGAGTGTAAGAGTTGCTTGAGGCACAGCTGAGAGCAACTCTAGCCTCTTGAAATATGCACGGCTGAAGCATGAACTAGTTGTTTTAGAACATCATAGTGATGAATGCAGCAGTTAATGTAAAATTTTATTATTGTAGCGCATGGTCAATACAAGGAAGTGCATGTCAATGACTTGTAATGTGTTACATATAATGATTTGCAAATTGGGGGAATCGCTTCATTGACAGGGAGGAGATATTAAGGCAAGGAAGGGGGGAGTAAGAGTTGAAGGTACAGAGGAGGTGCAAGGAGCAGAAAATATAGAATTCTAGCAACCCTATTCTGCAGCTTTTGAAGTTTGTCTGCTAGTCCCTTATTGATATTACCCCATACAGCACCACAGTAATTAAAATATGGCATTACCAGTGCATTGTACATATTCACTCTAGTATCAAATGGTATAAAATGACTTACACGCCTTAAGATAGCAATACCAGCGGATATTTTCTTTGAAATGGTATGAATGTGTAGGCGCCAGTTCAAAGATTGATCAATTTGAACTCCAAGGGATTTATGTTTGATTACTCTTTCTAAGGGTGTATTATTGACTTTGACTGTGAAGTCACTATTTATTTGGGATAACTTAAATTTGCCCCCTATAAGCATGTATTTAGTCTTCTTAACATTTAAAGTTAATTTGTTTGCTGACAGCCATGACTGGATTAAATTCATATCATAATTCATTTTATGTTCAAGTTAAGGACACATGGGTCTTCTGCAGATGTGGTAAGGATAGTATCATCTGCATACATTCTGGGTTTTGAAAACAAAATAATTACATGAAGGGAGATTATTAATATAAATAGTGAATAAGAGAGGGCCTATGAGTCACTGCTCGATAGCAAACTCAAGCCGATTCATTCCAGGCTAGACGACCTATTCAAAAAAGTTGAACAATGCTCTAGAAGCAAGACTTGATTCACTTGAGGCAAGGAATGCGAGTTTAGAAGCTGAAAATGCTAAACTGGCCAGTAAACTGCAATTCTGCGAAGCTTCGTTGAATAATTTTGAACAGTATTGTCGCCACAAGTGTGTAAAAATTTCTGTCATTCTTGAGGCGGAAGACGAAAACACAAGGGAAATTGTAATAAAAGCTATTTATCCTTGAGGATATTTCTCAGATTAAATCCGTGCCTTTCTGCTAACCATGATGGTTTGACAATACTGTTATCAGATTTACAACATTCACGCAATGTTATTGGCCTTTCCGAAACAAAGATAAAAAGTAACTGTGATCTAACTAGCAACATTGCTATTGAAGGATATGATTTTGTATAGTTTGGGGCAACTCTTATGACCATAACATTAAACCACTTCAAATAATACAACGGAAAGCAGTCTGTTTAATTACTTTCTCCAATTTCGATGCACATACAAGTCCTCTGTTTGCTAAGCTTAACCTTCTTAAACTTCAAGGTCATATTAATCTTTTTTTTCAATTTTATTATTTGCACTTTATGAAATATTTACATTATATAATTATAGTAAGGCAGGAATACATTAATAAAGTAGAAGAAGAAGGAAAAAAAAGAAAATTAATGTTTTGGGTAGAAGTTTATGGTGGTTAGAGGAGCTTAGCTTTCGAGATAACTACCGCCATATTATGATTGGAAATACATAATAAACACGCTCTTGGTGCCGTGGCAACTATGGACAGCAGTCAGGTTATGTGAGACAGTCATATTACAATTGTTACCTTTGAGAGTTAACTAGAATTCACTTATATTCTTTTTTGAATTTATGGTAGCTAAGTGTTTTTATCTTAGTAGGAATCTCTTCCCAAGTTTTGGTTATGGCAAACTTAAATGTGTGTTTGCTGTAATTTGACCTTACACGTGGTACACGAAAGTTAAGATTTGAGGCATATCTGGTATTGTGTGAGTGAATATCAGACACCTTTACAAGGTAGTTTTGAAACACTTCAGGGATATCGGCTTCACTTTGTGAGATTTTGTGGGCTAGCAAGGAGATTTTGAGTTTAAAAATGCTATCTATGTTAAGTATATCTAGAAGTTTGAGGTAGGGTGCACTTCTTTCTCTATTATGTCTAAAAAATATGCAGTGTATACATTTATTTTGTTTTGTTTGAACTTTAGTTAATCTACTTGGGTATGTGTTTCCGCAACTCATAATTCCATAATGAAGGTTGGGGTAGATAAGTGAGTAATATATTTGCTTGAGGGTGTTTAAAGTTAAGAAATGGCGTAATCTGAAAAGGATTCCCAAGTTTTTAGATATTTTGCAGTTAATGTGGTGAATGTGGGGAGCCCAATTTAGATGTTTGTCAATGTAGATACCTAGGTATTTGATGTAGTTCTTTCCTTCAGTATTGTGTAAATTAAGCTTAAAGGGACTGGTTCACGATAGTGCGCATGCGCACCGTTTGTCTCTTCAGAATAAATTTGTCGGGTCAACACTAAATTCGAAATCGCCATTACCAGTACAATCATTGAAAATCCTTTGTTTTATTTGGACATCCGTCGCTTTGGCTGGTCTAGTTATAACTCGGTAGTGGTGATTAACGTGTGGTTGTGTCGTTTGACTAGTTACGTTTTAAGAAGACGCAAAAAATAACGTTTTGATCATGGAGGTTCAGAAGAGTATCGTGGCCGTCCGGCAACAGGACGTTCTCAAGAGTCTTTGGAGATGGAGAAGCTTAGCCTATCGATCTGGTATGGTTCTAGGAGTAGTGTGTGGCTTACGAAAAGTATACACGACACTTGGAAAGTGGTTAAAGGCATGAGTTCGTTCAACTTTGATTTGATTTTTGACTCCGACCTGTAGTTATACCGCAGCAGGCCGCGCGATCTTCACCGATCTGGTACACTTGAAATGTTCCTTGTATCTTTGCGTTACGATCGTATATGTTTAAGAATTGATGTTTTTAAAATAAATTATTGCCTGAATATTCTGTTTATAATCTAGTTTCTTTATGTATGCTACTCGATAACATTTGTTTTGCAGAACACTGACCCGATGCAACGCGAATGAATTTGTTCATTTGCTGATAAGCATTTGAAATTTATGCTCAATTAAGGATAATCTTCATACTCGTACGTTGTGCGTTTTTGTCACCGGTCAGGTGCTATTTGTAGGTATTTCTGGATTTATATAAGGCGAACTGAGAGAACAGTAATAAGATGTTTGTTTACAAATTTAGTTTGCCGATCGGTGACTGCTTTGTTAGCGTGGGTACGACCTCGTAAAAATACACGTTAGTAAATGTTTGTTTCAAAGCAGGACAGGGCTGTAAATCTTATTCTTATCGGCTGCAACATATATCTGAGGAGTAGCAAAGAATAAACTTGAATTATGGGGATAAATAAAATCAAACCAAATGCCCGGAAATACTTTCGCGTCGCGAACAATTAATTTGAATTTCGTAAATTTACTTGCATGCATCTAACTTGCTTCCAATTGGTTGAAAAACAATCAGCTACTATCAGAACTCACACATGCGCATTATTGTGAACCAGTCCCTTTAAGTTTATTTGCTTTTTGGGGGGAGGAGACTGTCATATAGTGGGTTTTCTTAAAGTTTACAGAAAGTTTATTAGCTGAGCAGTAGCTAAGAAGATGGTTGAGTTCCTCATTTATAGTGTTTTCAAGGTCCTTGCTCAGTAGAATAATTAATTTTTTTTTCCTGAAGCCAAATTGGTGTTTAAAAAGAATGTTTTCCTTTTCTATGAAATGACTTAGCTGATTGTACACTAGTCTTTCAAGGATTTTAGCAAACGGAGAGAGGACAGCAATGGGATGGTAGTTGCCAGGGTCTGTCACTGCACGGCAGTCTTAAAGACTGGGGTAACCTTTGAGATCTTGAAAATATCCGGGACAATACCTGATTCAATGGATTCATTAAAATAATAAGCTTGTGAGGGGAGCTGAAAGCAGGTTGCTGGCAATCTTGATTGGATAGTTAGGGATATCTATAGTGGCTTTGTGCCTATCGAGGCCAGATAGTGCTAGCTCAACTTGCGCTGAATCCACTGGGGAAAGAAAAAAACTAGAACTATGAGTTGCTGGGAGGAAAGCATCAGGTTTTATACTTGAGTGAATTGTAGATGCCAAATTTGGACCAATATTTATAAAAGTACTCATTGACCTGATTGACAATGTCATGTTTGTCAGTGTAGGTTTTCCCATTGTAGAGTAACTTTGCTGGTACAGTGTGCCCTTTAGGTTTCCTGTTTATAATGGTGCCAATTAACTTCCATATATTTTTTAGGTTGTTCTTATTTAGTTCAAATTGCTGCTTATAGTAGGATGACTTACAGGTCCATTTCAGCTTATTCAGAGTATTTGAGTATTTTTTATAGTAACCTACCTTGTCTAGATCTTTAGAAAGAAAGAGTGTGCGATACATTTTCTGCTTGTTTCTTATAGAATTTAATAAGGTATCTGTTATCCATTGTTTGTGAATCTTTTGTTTTAGACGGCTGCGGGTATGCATTTAATTGGGGCATGTTTATTGGCTGTGCCTTTAAGTTTTTTGACAAAGCTGCTGGCTTTAGTGTGGATGTCGGTTGGGTCATTTAGGATGCTTCTCCAGTCAGCTGACTTTATGTCATTCAGATAGGTCTTAGAGTCAAAATTTGAATAGTCCCTGAAGAATCTCTTTGGTTTTAGCCTTATTATCTGTCTTCTAATGAAACAGAAAGTGGGCAGGTGGTCTGATATGTCTGTGGTTACAATACCAGGTATGATTTGGTCAGTAGAGGCATTTGTGTAAATATGATCAATAAGAGTTGCAGTATGGCTTGTGATCCTAGTAGGTTTTGTTATGACTGGGAGGAGGTTACTACTGTATAGCATATCAAGGTAGTCTTCAGTTTTGGAATGTGTACCTACTCTTAGAAAGTCAATATTCATGTCCCCTAGGATAAGGACCTGATGCTTGGATTGGTTTAAGGGACTGACGAGGTTTTCTAGTTGAGATATAAAATTATCAAGATTAGACAAGGGGTGCCTGCATATACATCCCACAAATATACTAGGTTTGTGTTCCTGTAAGATTTCAATCCAGCAGGATTCTGCCTCAACAGGTTTAAAGCTTAAATGTGACCTATGAATTGCATTTAGGGAGGATGAGATGTAAACACCACCAGCCATTGTTTTCCCTTGTAGAATCAGACACTATGTAGAATCTATGCAAATGCTATGTCACAAAGCTATGCAAAACCTATGTTAATCACTCATACATTGCTTTAACCAGATCCTATGTTGTTTCTATGCCAGGACTATGTTTTTTGTATCGAAAATGCTATGTTTTCGCTAGTCAAACGGAACCTACTTAAAAGCTATGCAGTTTTTAAAGGTAGGAATAAAGGACGAAATGACATAGTTTCCACATAGCCTATACATACAGTTTACTTAGCTTGTGGAAAGAGATTTTAGACTTCATAGTCAACCTCATAGAAAAATCATAGAAAATAAATAGCCTTCACATAGGACTGAAATAGAGATTACATAGTAAAATGGAACAGGGAACAGTTGATTAAATAGCTTTTGAATAGGGTTTGCCTAGAATTTAGATAGAAATAGAAATAGAAAAAACATATGAAAAACATAGCCTTTTTAAAGGTGACATATACTTTGCATAGCATTAAAATAGGGAAAACACAGAACAAATAGTCTTTGCATAGGTTTGAAATAGGATTTTAATAGTATTTGAATAGGTAAAACATATCACATACACAAGCTTTAACTAGAGTTCAAACAGAAATTACATAGAATTGACATAGTCTCTTATGTATGTAGGTTTCGATCTGCTTAAGCAAATGTAGTGTTTAAAATACGTTCGTAAAAATCACCAAAATAGTAAAAATAGTATAAAATATGAATTAGAATACCTTTTACATTGGTAAGAAATAGGTTTTGAAACGAAAAATTGAAAAACTATGGCAATATAATACCACGAACACTAATAGTAACACAAATGCAGTATTTTCATGGAGGTTTCAGAATCGAAACCCTAAGTTTAAGTTTGCTTATCGTGTAGACTTTTTGCTGATGTCGTGCTCTTCAGTGCCATACAGTTTCCTTTTGACTGCAACGAATAAGTATCTGCAAACAGAAAAGTGGAGATTTTAAGGCAAATGAACATAAAAACAACCTGACGTTTTAGAATTGAAACGAAGGAGTATCAAAGCGTGATCGACCGATCCTTGTTCAGATACGCGAAAAGGGGAGACAACACAGGCAAATCGAAACTTAATTGAGAAAAACATCACTTACCAACGATAGGAATACTTTTTGTTGAACCTGGCAGGAAAAAGACTGTAAATTGAAGTAAAAAGAAGCGTCTTCTTGTAAAAACGCACGCTTACAGCTCGTCTTCTTTGACTTGAAAGCGCCCGCGTCGAAACAGACAATTTTCACACCTTTTCATTGGTTGAAAAGGCCCACGTGACGATAAAACGCAAAATACGCATGTGTTGAACTCACGGGCTTCCCTGGGAACTAGTGGAAACAAAATGGCTGACAAACATCCACCGAGGCAGGTAGCGTTTCGCAGTTTTGACCATGCAGTTATATTCAGGAGACGTCCACAATCAAGACCAAGGATCGAACCCAATGTAAAAGAAGAAAATGATGCATGGAAGTATCATTTCAAGTGAAGAACTCTAGGGAAAAGCTAGAAAGGAAAGTTAAGACAGGGATGATGGATGTAGCGATTCAATGCTTAACAAAAGTCTTCTCACTAAGAAACTATCTGGAAGCACAAAAAAAACTTATAGTACATGATTTTTCAGTGTTTTAGTTTAAAACACTGCCTTTTACTTTGGAAGTATGCTTAGCCTTCTGTAAGCGCTACCATCAACATGCCTAGTCACTTAAAAGCTATGTTGGAATATCACATAGGAAACGCATAGACTACATATATTTTTCATATGAGTGACATAGGAAAAAATATGTTTATGTAAAAGCTATGTAGCCTTTATCTCATGATAAAGCTAAATGAAAATGTCACATAGTGAATACATAGGCTGCAAATATGTTTCATCACATAGCATAGAATAGACATAGCACTATGTAAAAGCTAAGAAACTTGTTGGAAATAAAAGTGAAGATCGAAATGCTATGTAAAAGCTATTTTACTTTGATGCATAGTGAATACATAGGATGCTAATCGGAAGGAAAAGCAGAACTTTCTATTGCATAGTAAATACATAGCTATGTCAAGACTATGAAAAGATTTTGAATAGTATTTGCATAGGTATTCAAAAGCTATGTGCTTTTCAAATAGCCTAAACATAGTTTCAACATAGATTTTGCATACTTTGGACTATGTTGTTTGGTGTGTTACATAGTTAATACATAGGCAGTAGTGAACATAACATAGCTGAAACATAGTCCAACATAGTAAAAAAATAGCATGAGCGTAGGTTTTGCATATGTCTGGTTCTACAAGGGTTAGAATCAGTACTGTAAATTTGTAGTTAGGATCGAAGATCTATGTTTGCTGATGAGTTACAATTAATTCTAATTTCTGTTACTGCAATTACATCAGGTATATTATCAAAGCAATATAAAAGGTCATGTAAGAGCTCGAAGGTTTTTGCTAGACTTCTAATATTACAATGAAAGAGAAAAATGGAATCGTTATCTACATCAGCTGAAAGGTTATTAGCATCAGTTATGGAATAGTACTCAGAGCTAGGGGTTGACAACATTAAATCAGGGTCAGATTCATCGAACTTGTCAGGATTTGGAGGGATTTTGTACAAATCAACACCACGGTGTGAAGTCACTGACATTACCAGTGAAGTCACTGACATTACCAGAACCGAGTACAAATCTAAATTCTCTTTCATCTAAATCATGAAATGGGGGTATCCAAACATTTGAAGAAGCCATTATTAAATAACTACTAAGTTACTACAAGGAGTATTAACCAGATATTAAAGTTTCATTGTGATGGAGCAATGAAGTCTTCGAATTCTTCAAATGTTGTAAGTGTAAATGTCTGTGAGGTTTCATGTTTACGTAGATGGATCTCATCATTATTATTATTATTAATTTATTTTTTTAAATATGTTTATTGATAATCGCATTAAATAATTACATTTACAAAACACACACAAAAAAAACACTTTAACAAGAGACATTAACAGAGTAAAGCAAAAAAAAAATTGTCAAATTATTACAGGAGGTGTTACAGGGCTAAAAGAAATTGTAAAAAAGTACAACAGGGCAATGAAATAATACGGAGTTAATACAGTTAACTTAAATAAGGCGTCAGTATCCACTATCTTTTAAAGAATTCTTTGTTGCTGATTTTTTCTTCTGTTTCATATTTAGCGATGATCTTGGCTCTAAATCCATAAATGTTTGGAAGGATTTGTTTGCTCCTGCAGTCCCACAAAATAGAGTTTTCCAATAATTATAAAATAGTTCAGCAATTGGAGTAAAGGGCAAGCACTTTCCGTCAAAATTCCAAAGAGCACATTTTCCAAGCAGAGACAAATTCATTGATTCAAAATAATTAAGGCACAAATGTAGTTCAAATTCAATCCAAAACTGTTTAGAACATGAGCAGTGATAGAACAAATGCGTTAATGATTCAGGTTGATTGTCACAGAAAGTACATAAATCATTTGTCCTAAAACCTATTTTATACAACTTTGTATTTGTGTAAAGAATTGAGTCAATTACTTTGTACTGGAAGGCTTTAACATGCAATTCGACAACGGTAGAGTGTGGTAGCTTAAATATTTGCTTCAGATTGTCGCTGTTAAAATGAAAGTTACTCTGTAATAATATTTTTGAATAATATTGGGCGGTTTAACTTTTTCTCTGATGAGTAGTTTGTAGTAATCCTTTGATTTCCCTTTCGTAACATCAAAATTATTGTCACCCACCACAAATGTTGGTGAGTTTATGGAAGGATACCTGTCATAACTTCTCAACGATAATGGAATGGACCTGCGTAAGCCAGCCCATTCTAGAATAACTATTTGTTTTGCATATTTTTTTAGACAGTTGATTATAAGAATCAGTACTGTTCAGACTAAATAAAAGATCCTGAATGCAAGTGACTCTCGCATTAACATAATGTTTATAATAAACCGGCTTGTTTTCTACTTTAATTTATTTCTTTGTTATTCCAGATTATCGTTTTCCAATCTTCTTCAGTGGCAAACCTTTCACGAAATTGCGACCACCATAACAGAAGTTCCTGATAAAATTGAGAAGGAATTGTGTAATCCGAGATATTGTAGTTGCAGTTAAAAAAGAACAATCCCCCAACGGAGCTCAGTATGTGTTGTAGGTAGCTTTTCCAAGTTCCATTAGTCCCACTGAAGATACGTTTTAACCAAGCTAATCTCAATGACTTAACCATGCACTTGAGATCAACCATTCTTAGCCCTCCCTCTTCGTATTTGTTTATAACTGAAGCTCTTGTTACCTTATCTACACCTTTCCAGAGAAATTTAAACAGTATTTTATTCAATTCTTTTAGTAATTCCTTGGGAGTTGGAAGGATCGAACAAATGTAAATGTACTTAGGGATAAGAAAAGATTTGATTATTGTCACCTTACCGTATATCGACAGGCCTCTAGCGGACCATATATTAATAAGTTTTTTAATTGAATCCAGTCGTTCTATAAAATTCTTACCATTATTCGTCCATAGGAATTTGTACTTGTTTTCCTTCTTGAATTTGTTTACCCTTCCAAAAAGTTCACTGCGATACTGGGTTAGGGATTCATTAATGTACATAGCAGAGTCTTGGTGGATGCTTTTCCCCATCTCACAAGCCACGAGTGGAAGCACGCTTGCTTTTTTCCCGCCAAGGTGCTTGCGTGACTTGTAGAATTCGTCACGCTTTTCTCTACGGACCAATTTGACAATAAATCAGAAGAGCTCAGAAGTCGCGTCCGGTCACCATGACACCCAGGCTCAGCAAGCTCAGCAAGGTACAAGTATTCATTGGACATGTACCTTGTTGAAATGATGTTTGTTGAAATGATGTTTACCAGTTGGTTATATTTTTCGTAGTAAAAATCTCCGTTTCTTTTTCTGGCGTTTGTAATTCATAAATCATGTTTTAAAATGTGCCTAGCACTAGCTAACTTGTTTACATGTTCATGTAATAGTTAGTAGCAGCTTCCTGCTGTGTTTACTTCAGTTAATCTTAACTCGAGTACTCTTCAGAGCTCTTTCTATCTTAGTTGTTTTTGTTGTTTTTGAGACTTGTAATGAATTTTGTTATACATGGTAATTAACCTCAAATTTCTGTTCAAATATTACCACCTCCAGTAGTTTCCATGGTTACTGTAGTTCATTCTCAAAAACGTTCTGTTAATTTACAATTTTCTGCTCTCAAGTACTGTACTGCAGTGGAGGTTTGCTAGCCAAGTGGTTGACACCTGGAACTTCAGATCTGTTGATCTGGGTTCAAGCTCTGCCATCTTCTTGTTTTCATAGACAAGAACCTTTTATCTTCTATGTCTGTCTCAGATGTATGCATATAAATATGTGCGGCCGATGACTCACTGCTAGGGGTACCCCTCGTGGGTGCTATTTGAAAATTATTGAAATTATTTAATTATATGGTAGACAGTTAAAGTAAAACTCAACAAATTTTGCCTGTGAAGGTTGCTTTGTTAATCTTGTCTATCCTGTGTTGGAGTTGCATTTTAATTTAGAGTTATTAGCAAGTCCTGCTTAATTCCATGGATATTGGCTCAAAACCTGTATTTCTTGAATGAGACAATATTTTTATTAAAATAATTAACCAATTTATTCATTATTCAAGGCAATTTTATGATATCTTTTGGGTGATTTTGACATGTACCTGTGTCCTTTGCTAGTGAATTTTACTGGTGAATAAGGAACATGAACTGTAAAATAATTATTTGGCAAAACTATAGCAGTGGTCACAGTCATTGGAAGCTATGCTTAACACAAACTGCAAGACATCATCTATTTTTGGTCATGTAGATTTGTAGACAAACAAAGAAAAAGGTCACTATTTCAGGGCTCGAAAAAAGTCGTGTCTGGTATTCCAGGATGACTAGATTTTGTTGCTTGGCAAGTAACTTCTAAAGCAAACTGGCCTGATGGACATAGATCCAGGCAAGTCGAACCAAATTCCAACTAAATCATTGAGAGCTGCTTGCTCAAAGGACAACATCTTGTTCCTCTTGTACCCAGATACTGGGGCAGAAGTATTAAATACATGTATATACCTTACTGGTTCTAAATTTCACTGATCTTAGATTTTGCCAATTTTGTTTTTTGCAATTCTAAAAAAAATCCTGAAATTAAAGATGCAAATAAAATTTCTCATGAATTAAAGCACACAAAATTTAATAACCGTAAAGAAAATTCAGATCACAGAAAAAAAATTATTTGCGCTGGCATGTATGTTAAAACTCTTAGTGTTGTACATGTAAGTTGCGGCTCATTGAGAAAATCCTACATTGTACATATGTACGTTGTGATAAGTCAAGTCTTTTTCACACATGTTCGCCTTTCAAAAAGTGAGTCTTGCAGTGTATGACCACCCTTGTATTAATTTTAATACTAGAGGATGGGAAACAATAACCCTGCAAAGTTTTTTTATGGGGGATTTGATTTATTTTTGGATGTTGAGGGATTTGCCACCAATTAATTTTGTAAAGGGACTCAGGGAGTAAAGAAAGTCAGTTTGACGGTTTGCCATTTGGGCGAGCTGTATCTAGCATGTATTAGCCTAAGAGTCTCTTTAACTGCCCTGAAAAAAAATATTTGATGAGCAGGATTGTATATCTGTAATTTGAATTCCCCAAAAAACTTAACCTGCCCAGCGGGCAATTAGTTAGGAACAGAATTCACTAGCCCAATAGCACAATCCCCTAGCCGCAGGCTATTGGACACAAATTTCTTTGCACACTGGGACTTGAAATAAGAGATAATTTTGGTTACAAGAAGTGACTTGTGAACAAATACAGTGTCTTCACTCTTGGGTGTTGCACTGAAATTTTTTGTGCAACATGTTGCTTGTTCAGCTTGTAATATGGGCAACAATACTTTTTAACTTCTAATGGATTGTGACAACTTGAACAAAAATGTTGCCTGTTTTACTTGACCTTTCAGCCCTTGAAACACCTTGCAATAAGTTGCTGGGTCTGGCTTTGTAATGTATGTGCTTTGTTGATAAAGTACATGTAAATTGTATACTGTAAATACAGTAGTTTTGAATACCCTCCTCTCCAAAGCACAGCCACAGACTCTTTAAAACTGCACAGCCTGGAAGATTGAAGACAACCAATGCTGTTGTCAATGAAGGCTTGTACAACCAATTGATTAATAAAAGCTTAACTTATCAATTAACACGTTTTAGTAAATTAACTCATTAACATGATAAATTGCCCTGACATATTCAACTGGCTGCTACGTTACCATCTACTGGCTACAGAAATGTAGCCACCTTAAAATTCAAAAGTACAATACAATACAATACAATAACTTTATTTAAAGAGGGAAGCGCAATAACCTTTTACAGTTTTCTAACCTACGGCCCTCAAAAAAATAGATAAATAGATAAATAAATTTAGAAGACTAAAATCAAATAAATTTATAAATATATATATATACACAAAAGAGACAATATTTAAAGTAGAATAGGCTATAAACACGTAATGAATAATGTATAAATTGACTAAGGGGGGCAAAATATGTACTATAAATGAACATGTATACATATATATATAAATATAAATAAAAAGATGTAATAGTGGTTGTAGTAGGAGATAGACATTGACATTGTCTATTAAAGTACATGCAGCTGAGTATTTCATTCCATGCTTAAGCCCTGTTGTAGGGAAATGAACTTCAGATAGATAAGTGTTGTGATTCACAACTCTCTTGTCTTATAGAAATTTATTGGTTAGAGTTTCTCTCCTCCTCCACAGGGAGGAAGGGGGCCTTGGCAGAGTGACTTTGCATAAGTGGCATAATTAAGAACTCTTTAAAATTGATTTCACTCTTTCGTTTGTTACTGAAAGAATCTCAAGAATTGCCTTTATCAGATGACTCATTGACCATCACAAGAAGCCTCCTCAAGTATCTTCCTGTCCACATCAGAACTGGAAGAACTTGTTACACCAACAGTGGCTCCAGCCACCCCAAGCTATAATGCTGATTTGTCCATTACTGTCGTAAACCATGCAAGTAGCAGTGACTCATACTCACAACCAAGAGAATACATGGTTTCATCAGTAATCCTTATACCTCCCAGTAATCCAAGCCAGATTCAGTCATCCCAGGGAAGTCAAAATGTTAGAGCTGGCACTTTCTCTGAGGGAGTGGTAGCAACAAAAGAGCCAGAGGTTTTCTCTTCAGTTGTAGACTCCATGTAAGTAAACTTTACAGTGCAATGAATTAAAAACTACCACAAGGTGAAAAACAGATGAAGGGGTAAATTTAAAGAATGAAAATAATACATCATTAGTTTCCTCTATTTACCTTAAATTATATTATTTACGGATAATTTTTAATTTTTATCTGTTTACTATTGCAGCCCTCCAAATCGAATCAGCAGTGAGCCCACGCCTACTGCACCTTCAGCAACAAGTCCAAAGGAGGAAGAAGACAGCATAACGGCAGCTTTAAACCAAGCAGCAGAAGAGGAAACCAAACTGAAGGAAGAAGAAATGCCTTCATTTGATGAATTTTAAAGAAGAGTTTTACAGGAGGAAGAAGAGAAAAGTAAACAGCAGAGTGCTGAGAACTCAAGTGGAGCTGCACCCAAACCCAAGAAACTAAAGGAACGAAAACAATGCAATTACGCTTCAGTAGACTGTGGTGCAAAGATCTTAGATCACAATGGTGACGCATCTAATGTTGACAGTAATTTGGTCGAAAATAGAGACTTGTATATGTTAAATCCGTGTAGTACACAAGTGTGGTTTATTGTGGAGCTATGTGATCTGGCTCAAGTCAAAAGCATACAAATTGCAAACTTTGAACTATTCTCTTCTACTCCTGAAAGCTTTCGGGTGTATGTCAGTAAAAGATATCCCACGAGAGAGTGGACTGTGTTAGGGACATTTCAAGCTCGCGAGGAAAGGACGATACAAACTTTTCCACTAGATGAACCAATCTATGCCAAGTACTTTAAGGTATGAATCTGTGAACAGTTTGCTGTCAAGTCGCCCAAAGCCAAAGTTAGTCGTCAGGCCCCAGTTGTATAAAAAATGGATAACATTATCCACCCGATACGTCACTATCTACTGGATAACACGACTGGTTTCCCTAATACTTATCCATGGTGGATAGTGCTATCCAAGTTTTGAACAGCTGTGGCCAGAAGGTTTATTATGCTTAGCAACTTTCTAACATCCTATTACACATTAGTCGCACTTGTTTTGTCTCATTGAGGCTTAAAGAACGAGATATATTACTCATATAATTATTGTGCCTTTTTCGCCTTCTTTTGGCTTAATGAGTGACATATTTAGTGAACAACACATTTATCATGCTCGTTTTGTCTAAGGCTTTAAAAAACAAGACATTGCACATAGGACGCTTATATGGTTGTCTTATTAACGAATCACTTATTTTAAGTACCTTGTTGGTAGAAATTTCTTTCTTTTTTTGGAATTCAGTCGATGCGAAGACAATTTTTAGCTTTTTTAAACAGATACATTGTAGTAAGTACACCTTAGTGTGACATAAACCCTGTAAGTACCTTATGTGTTGTCCTTCATTCAATTAGGTTGAGATGTTGAGTCACTTTGGCTCAGAGCATTACTGCCCACTGAGCCTTCTGCGTGTGCACGGCAGCAGCATGATGGAAGAGCTGGAAGACCATGAAACAGATGGACAGGAAGAGAACGATAACAGTGACAGTGACAGTGATGTGCCAGTGTTACCTTCTGATCCTAGTGCCAAGGTTGAAGATCAAACCCAAAATCTGCTGGAAAGAGCAGCTGATACGGTTTTTAATCTGGTCAAGAAATTCACTGGAAATGGGCATGATAACAAGCAAGATAAGGAAGGTTATGACAGTAAACTCGGCACCCAAGACAATAAAATGACTGCTTCTGAGAAGGAATCCCAAGGTGAAAGCAAGGGCAAAATTGTCACTCTTGTTGGTCATGAAGAGCTCAACGAAAATTCACAAATGACTAGTGACAATGCCTGTATATTAAAGCAAGGTCACAGTCGTGATAGAAACGCTTCACAAGGAAAATGTGTGTCTGGTAATATAAGCCATGAAGGTAGTCCACCTTGCAGCAAAGCAGATAACGAGGGAGAGACTCGTACATGTAGCCCTGCTCCGTCAGCATGCCAGTTGTTTGCCCAGGTATTGGGGCACTACAGTCTGGGGTGTTTTGTGGGACGAATACTCTTTTCAAAGAATGAAAACTTTACAGTATCAATAAATTTAGCCACGAGTGGTGATTACAAGCGAAATTCTATTTTAACTCATGCGAAAGGTAAAGGTGAATCTTATCAAAAGAAAGAAAGTCAAGACCAAGAGAAAGTTCCTGCAGAACAGGCTGGAGAACCATCTACTGTTGACAACTCAGAAGAGAACAGTGCTGAATTAGATATTGTAGACCAAGAATTCTCTGTTATCATTCCTGAAATGTCTTCCAGCGTTCTGAAAATATCAAATGAAGTTACCAGCTCAGGCGCATCGGGAGTTTCAGAATATGTTGACCCTTCGCCCGGAGTTTTGCAGCCTAGCGAGTCACTAAACATTTTCGTGTCAGAGGATGAGAAGAAGAGGGAAACTGATGATAAAACCCCTTCGTTAGCAGAAGTGTCAGTTGTTACGTCCTTACCTTTAAATGCCACTCTGCCGGCTTCTTCATCTGTGGTACTTAAAAGTTCCCAAGTGCCAGTAATTAAGGATTCTTTTGTTGATGTTCCACAAGGTGAATCCAAGTTACACGATCAGCAGGAGTTAAATAAACAACCTGTACAAAGCATTCCTGACAGACCGTCAACTGTGTTAGAAAGTGAACAGGCACACTCTGTGACAAAAGGCACTTCTCAGCAGCCATTACCTATGAATGCGAAGGATATAAGTTCCAAAGATGAAGAGAAAATAGAAGACAATGTAACGGTTACTGATGAATTAAATGGTAGCAAGGGTGAAGATAAAACCGAAGCTACATCATCGGAATGCAAAGGGCCAAATTTAATTCACATTATGTCTCAATCTTCTCCAGATATTGACGTCTTGGAGACAAAACTCACTGACAAAGATGGACGAGAGGGTACTGCTCAATTACCTGAAGAGGTACAGTTAGAAAAAGAGCCTATACATAGTGCCATTGAAGCGTCAGAATCAACCAAAGCAACTGATTTTTCAAGCATAAATTTAGAGCCAGTTAGAACAGAAGGTGAAGGATTGAAACCAGATTTGGACAACCAGGAGCTGGGTATTGAGAGCACAAAATTGGAATCCAAAATGTTGGAATCTGAAAATGTGGGTCCAGTTATTCAGCCTACCATTCCTCCTAGTATTGACATTACTGACACTTCAGACCCTGTTGTTCCATTGCCAGCTCCTCCTGTTATTGGAGACACAAGCTTGCCTAGCCATGAGTTTTCAACTGCAGCATCGTCAGCAGAAGCTACTCTTGATACTTCAATCCTCAGCAAAGCTCAACAAGCTGCTGTTTCTTCTTCAGCTGGAGTATCGTCATGGGTCGGGTCAGGAGGGCAGATGGAATCCATATTTGTTCGTCTTAGTAACAAGATCAAGGTTCTGGAACAGAATTTGAACATGAGCACCCTGTATATGGAACAGCTGCATCAGAGGTAACTTTTACAAAATCTCTTCAATTCCTTGTTGATACAGGTGGTTACAGCACCATGTTCTGTTTAAAACTTTACTTGTGTGGGCCCAGGCTCCGGCTGCAAAAGGGAAAAGGCGAAAAAAAAAAACACAGCAAATGAAGGGGCGGAAATGACAAAAAAGTGGGAAGCTGGGGACGGGAATTCTTTTTTTCTGTTGCCCTTTTCCACACCCCAGTCCATGGTTTTTGTTGTAGTTGTAGTTGTTGTTGTCTTTGTTTGTTTTTTCTTTTCTTGTCTTTTTTTTTTTTGCTGTTTCACCCCCTTTTTCACCTTTTCCTCCACTACAGAGCCTGGTCCCAGGCTAAAGCTACATGTACAACCTGATAGACAAAACTCTTCAGATGGTTCCATCTATTAATTTTTAGAATTACGCGCCATATTACCATCTCCTCTAAACATCGAATAAAATTACCCCAACCTCTCCCCCTATTCAATAGTGGTTTGGCCTTTAAACCAGTGTATATAATTCTGGACCCAGTTGTTCGCAGGCTGATTAGCGCTTAACCCAGGGTTAAATTTAACCCAGGTTTCTTTTTCTTTTTTCCAAAGCATTTTCTCGGATAATTTGCTCCGTTGTTTTTAAGACCATCCAATCATCAACTTGTTGACAAAAAGAATTTAACTGAATTTACTTTTTAAGCTTTCATATCTGAATTCTTATTTCGCACTAACCCTAGGTTATCTTAACCCAGTTTTGAACAATCCGTCCCTGGGCCCGGTTCCTGAAAGGTCGATTAGCGCTAATCCAGGATTAAAATTTTGTTCCGTTTTTGTAATTTACCTTCCTACGTATTGCTTAGAGTAATCTTTTGTGTTATCATTGCTGTATCTCGGGGTAAAGGCTCAACAGTATTTTTTTAGCTTGAGTTGCATGTCCTTAGAGAAGAAAACCTTCCTTAAAACTAAGCTTAATCCAGGGTTAAACGTAACTATCTTTCGAGGAACCGGACCCTGGTATTACTCGAAAAATCATTGGAAGAGAGGAAGGGGGAGTAAGGCAATTCACTTAAGCGAGGGGTTTCATTTTAGTCCGAATGACAAGAAAAAATAGGTCTTTTTCAATTTGTATCAACCGGTTTGGATCACAGTTGTAGCTGGGCTCTAAAACCATTGTATTGTAGTACATGACCAGAGTGAAATAAAAGTAGTTTAGAGTGCTCAGAGAAAATACTAGGGACAATCCTATAACTTCGTATCTGTTAGTTCCTTCTTCAAAGAAGTTATGTTTATGTAGCCTGAAATTCAGACGTTACTGAGGGACTAAAAACGACTCAAAATAGTTGTCTGAAATCAGGCTTATGTTTAAGGTCATTGTGAAGATTCTCCTCCCCTCCCCCCCTAAATCTTCAGACCTGCAGCTTGTGCCTTGTGTCTTTTCTTGTTAGAATGCACGTTGTGTTTGTCTGGTTTTGATCTTATCAAGAGAAACAAAGTTGATGCTTTATGATGCTAACAAGAGTTGCCTTATTTCCGGTCACAGATACCGCAAGTCAGTGGAAGAATTACAGAAGAACTCGGATAAGAAAGTTGCCCTGTTGACCAATGCTACCAAGAAGGCAGAAACTATTGTATGTATGATCTTTATAATTCTTAGTGTTGGGAAAAAGTGGTGAGAGTTTCGAAGCAATCAGTAACTCTATCCTTTGTCGAAGCGAGCGTTCATGTTCTTAGCGTAACATTAATCTGAGGAAGTTGAACCTTCACAAAATAGAATATACACCCGCTAATAAGAACCTGTGAATTAAGGACCTGCTGGCAGAAATTTGGCATTTTAATACCCAAAAATGTAAGAACTTGTTTAGCCAAGAAAAATCAACCAGGTTCTTGTATGTGTCTTACAGGTAAATACTGTAAAGATAAACATTTTGACCAAGGAGTTTGAATTCGAGATTGCCCAGTGACATTACAAGAAGGTACTCGCACCAAACTGTAATTACAGATAGAAGTATTACTGTAATTGAAATTCCTACAACGAAAAAAAGTTTATAAAAAGTACAGATTGTAATTGTCTTCATGAACTTTGCATGAAGGTTTGCAATGTATAGTTGTGAATAAACACTGTATATTTAAGGACCAAACTCTCAAGTTTCTTTATTTTTCTGGTAGTCAACAGCTATATCTCCTTCATAGAAATGAAGAACCTAGTAAAGAACGTTCTTAGCCTGAATTACCAATAACTACCCCCAATTAAACACTGTATATTTAAGGACCAAACTCTCAAGTTTCTTTATTTTTCTGGTAGTCAACAGCTATATCTCCTTCATAGAAATGAAGAACCTAGTAAAGAACGTTCTTAGCCTGAATTACCAATAACTACCCCCAAATAAAAGAGCCTTGTTTGCCAGGCGTCAAATAATGTAGGTTCTTATTAGCTGGTGTTTACTCTTCCGTGTATTTTCTACCCCTCAATTCGCAAAAATGAACGTTCACAGGCATTTTGTTCATCATCCTCTTCAAAATTATCCGTTTGAGATTGGGCGAGATTAGTACAATAATAATATGGCGTGAATGCCCTACTTTGCAACACACGGATTTCGACCGAGCGCGCTCCTTGTCAACGATCTTAAGTGCTCAACGAATTAAAGCTATGGAACAAGCTCGAGTTGGATGAATTATCTGCTGTGAAAGACAGTTTCAAACTTACTCCACCCAGATGCTCTCTATTTGCCCGTCACTTGAAGATAACGTCAACACTGGTGTAACGATGGTAGAACCTTAACACAACCATTTACGTTCGATGGCGTTCGCCACGTTCCATCAAGCGCCGCGTTTGGTATACGTTCTACAGTGTAGACGATTTCCTGTGCAAGTGTCTTGTTTACATGCACATATTAATCGAGCCAATGTTACTTCTTTTTAAATGTACACTTTACACATTTCCTTCTACAGATCAACAACCAAAAGGAACAGATCACTAAACTGCAATCAAAGCTGGATAACCTGACCAACGCAGTTGGTGATATGAAAGCCCGTATGGATCCACTCAATAAGGAAGTGATGGAGCGCCATGTTATCGGTCTTTGCATTGAAATAGTCTTAATTCTTCTTCTGTTTATACTGTTTGCAAAGAGAAACAATAATCAGGTGACTTCTAACTCAGTGCACCTTATGAACGGTCATGGCCCCCCTCGACTTGCAATTGAAGATAGCAAGCGCAGCAAAGCCGCTGTCTTGTCTGAAGGTGAGTACTACGTTCGTGCACTGGGAATATTCATCTGGCATTTTATCAACTTGATATCAACATGAAATGTCTCCCCACATACCTCCTTACGTTCTGCTTAGTAGTTAAAAATATCAACTTGGATTACTTTTTAGTTTGCTGTTTCTGAGTTCCAAAAACTCTCATTTTCAAAACGAGGCTAAGTGACATTGTTTTCTCGTGAAAATGAGTTTAATCTGCATGACAATGAATATTATTATCATATCAATTATACTTCAGAACGCATTTATGCAACAAGAGGTTTTCAGAACCCTTTACTTGTGATATCGGAGCAATATATTTTGTTCATTCATTATTCATTTTTACCACCACATTACAAGTTATTGAAACATCTATTGTCGGTCCAATGTGTACAGTGTACAAACGTATTTATTTTTTTCGTTATTTATTTGTTTTTATTTTAGTTCCCAGGTTAAGTGGAAAAGAACAGCGTCTTTTCAGTTTTGTGAAGATGGCGGAACCGGAGAGTATCGTAGGCGGCACTGATACAGATCACCATGACAACAAATTAGTAAAGGCAGGTTTTCACACAATGCAGTTGTGTATTTTATAATTGAATGGTGAAAGCTAATCCTTGATGTTTGAATTTGAATGTTAAAATGTTAGTCCACTAGAAGGTTTCTAGAGTAAGCTCGAATTATCATTCGCCAGTTCTATTTATTTCCAGAAGGGGAAAAATTCACACATGTCCAATACTCTCGAAACAAACTCGCTTAATAAAAAGCCAGTGAGGGAACACAGAGTAACAATTCGGAGAGGGCCTGGGAGGGTTACATCTAAAGCAGCAATCCACAGGCATCCCAAACCATCAAAATAGAAGTTTTCGAGACACAAGGAGGGAAAATACATTTTATGTTTCTCAAGTTAAAATTGTTTTGGATGAGGTGGTAAATCTGTTTGCCACCAAACACCCACGGAGGCTGGAGCTCGGGACTATCCTGAGGGATTAGTTCCGCAGTATTTTGATGAATCATTTTACATCGTGAAATTACTCCTTTATAACTTAATTCAAACATTTGTATTCGACAAATGTAATATTCAGTTCCTACCAAGAGAGGATAAAGGGGACAGAGAAGGCATCCTCCATACACACCCAATTCCATAGGTAATTCGTCTCGAGTTATTTTTAAGACCACAGAACCCAAGGGGGATTAGACAACAGCCAATCACATAGCGCGAATGTGTTCTGTGGATGACCCACGCTCAGAGCCACGCGTCCTTCACGAATTGAGGCAGAAAAAATGGCGGAAGACGCGGAGAGCAATATTGCTATTCGTTTTGTCGACGAAAACGATTAAAGAGAGATCTCTGCTAAAGCTGTGTCAGCGAAAAGGAAATTAAAAAAGAATCGCCCTTCCTCTCTTGTATAGAGCTAACAGTACAGCAGGGAAATCCTTAACACAGTGAATATTCTCTCAAGATCATTTATAATTCAAATTTGTAAAACTAATTACATGTACATGAATATTACTTGCTACTTGCTTTATTGTACAAGCGACCCGTTTCAATAGACCGGCGAAATCTCTCATTATATTAAGCACTGAGGTTACGATAACTTCGAGTTAAACTGATTTCACGGGTTGTCAAAGAGTCGAGCGATTCCCTTTTCCCAGGTGAGCGCCGACTCATTTCGCTTCAATATTCAGAAATGCTCTCTATCTCTTTACGCTTTCATTGCCTTTCGCACGAAATGTTTTGCACGGCGTTTAGTCAAGCGAAACCTCCACGAAACATCCACGCAGCGCCCAAAGTAACTTTATCCCTATTCTAAAAATAACTCGAGACGAATTACCTATGGAATAGGGTGTGTATGGGGGATGCCTTCTCTGTCCCCTTTATCCTCTCTTGGTTCCTACCGTGTACTTTGCCGTTACAATTTCTCATGTATTGTTACCTTCCTACATTTCGGTAGTTCGGTAGTTCGGTCCACTTTCGCCTCGTTAGCACCCCCCCACATAAAATCCTGGTTACGGGCCTGCAATCGACACCTTTGCACTGAAGCGTCCATGATCTTTCCTTCTTGCTAGTACCCTAACTGAGTAAACAGCAAATCACAGGACTACAGTGTGTGTTTTAATGTATTCAACGATAATGAACATATATGTTGTAGTTACATTTCTATACCCAAAAACAAAAGAAAAACAAAAATTACCTGAGATAAAAAATTAACAATCTACAACATAAACACTATCTCTTCACTGGAAGCGAAAAAAAGCTAGCTTCATATGGCACTGTTATTAGAAATTTGTGCTTAGAATCACAAAATGAAATTTCAGACGACCTAAAGTGTTAAAACTTTCCAGGAAACCCTCTGAAGATTTATTGTCAATCTAGGCAAAAATACCACATTAGGAACCCCTCTATGCAAAAATGCTGGCTACACTCCTGCTGATTGTTTCGACAACCAGTCCGACAGTCATCTCCAGAGTCCAATACTTTTTGTATTACTGAATTAGAGTCATGGCAGCAAAAAATCGTACTTTTAGCTTGTAAAGTCCTTGTTATGTAAGCCGTTCCTTTACAAAAGATGTGCCTTTACCTTTAAACTCCTCCATCTACGTTGTCATCCAGATGATGAAAACATGAAAAAATGTAAAATTGACATTTGACATACCCAAGCAAAGGTCAAATTCACAATTTACCACAAAATAGTGTGTCAAATACCCGGGATGGGGGGCAGGGGGGATGTTGAAATTTTCAATTGATCAGCACATAAGGTTTATGCTTCATTAATATGCTTTTATTATGAAAAGATTCGTCATTTTTAAGGAACCTAGGAGTTCCAAACCATTTCATAAAAGAACCTAGACTTGCATAATTATCATCACTCGGATAAGTAAATGTTAAAAACTACACTTCAATACCAGCTCTAACACATTATAATGAATTGCCAACTGGTCTACTTGCATGTAATTGCATGCAGTGGTGCGTATAGTAACTGTAAGTACATGCAGATAATAAATAGTGGTATTTTCCTGGCTACTTACTTTTGGATCAAAATCTCAGGCAAAAGACATCTCTTTCTGAGGGATGCCAAAGTCCTTCTGAGGGATTCCATTTGCAACACACCTCCTTCTAAGGATACCAAACCCCTTCTGAAACGTCTCCTTCGGAGGGATGCCAAAATCCTACTGAGAGATTCCATTTACGAGTTTGAAAATAGATAACTCCGCCGATTCTTCCCTCGGAGGAATTCCAAATTCGCACTTCAGGTTACGTTTTTGCTTTCTTATTGCTCTGATTTAATATCGAAAGATTCCACATTTTCAAGGAACAGTGGAATTTAAGACAATTCCATATGCCTTTTCCTTGCCGTTCAAATTCTTTACTCGTAAATTCTTTTAGAAAGTCATTGATCGAAAGATTCGCCATCTTGGCCATTTTGTCGATCAGGCAACTCTTGTTTCTAGTCCCCCTCGATCGCATCCTTCGTGTTCCCCGACAGTTCGCGTTACATGATCCGACCTGTAGCACGCTCACTTTGTCAAATCTATAAATTGACTTGTTTCACTTCTCCTGGAGTATAACAACGAACTAACATATCGAAATTCGGGAGCTGGACGAATAGAGAACGCATATCGCTACCGCCATTCGCTACACAGAAATTGTTATACTAAATTATCTCAAATACGAGTTCGCTTTTAAAAAGAAATTACCTCATGAAGCGATGCAGTTTTTGATCGATGATCGGACTTCACCAGCCTTTTCTCGCTAACCAAATAATTAAGATTACGTACCACATTTTCCCGACCTCTTATACACCTCTCCACTGCGAAAGACTGATACAGTAGACTCCGTTTCACACTTTTCCACCTCGTTCAACATGATGACAATTTTTGACCTGGCGTTACGAATAGAAAATGTTCTTCTCCAGGCTTTCGAATCTATTCGAATCTAATGGATACAATGGATTCCACTGGAACGCCTTTTCACCCCCTTATACAACAGGAGTGGAATTTTCTAAGTCTCTCACAAATAGAAAAATGTACTTTTCCATCGGAATCTATTCGTTTCCAATGGATCCGATGGACTCCATCGGAACGACTTTCCACCCCCTCATGTAACATGAGTGGAATCATTCTAAGTCTCTCACGAATAGAAAATGTACTTTTCCATCGGAATCTATTCGTGTCCAATGGATCCGATGGACTCCATCGGAACGACTTTCGACCCCCTCATCCAACATGGCGGAATTTTTCTAAGTCTCTCACGAATAGAAAATGAACTTTTCCATCGGAATCTATTCGTGTCCAATGGATCCGATGGACTCCATCGGAACGACTTTCGACCCCCTCATCCAACATGAGCGGAATTTTTCTAAGTCTCTCACGAATAGAAAATGAACTTTTCCATCGGAATCTATTCGTGTCCAATGGATCCGATGGACTCCATCGGAACGACTTTCGACCCCCTCATCCAACATGAGCGGAATTTTTCTAAGTCTCTCACGAATAGAAAATGAACTTTTCCATCGGAATCTATTCGTGTCCAATGGATCCGATGGACTCCATCGGAACGACTTTCCACCCCCTCATCCAACATGAGCGGAATTTTTCTAAGTCTCTCACGAATAGAAAATGAACTTTTCCATCGGAATCTATTCGTGTCCAATGGATCCGATGGACTCCATCAGAACGACTTTCCACCCCCTCATCCAACATGAGCGGAATTTTTCTAAGTCTTTCACGAATAGAAAATGAACTTTTCCATCGGAATCTATTCGTGTCCAATGGATCCGATGGACTCCATCGGAACGACTTTCGACCCCCTCATCCAACATGAGCGGAATTTTTCTAAGAATACACTTGGTAGGACTTTACACCAATAGACTTCCGGTTTTCCGATGGAAAGCAAGGGGATACGACTGGATTCTGGTCGACAGTATTGGACAACCCGCGAAAAATTATGGTGTATACTGTTGCATTGCAAATACAGCCACCTCTCGTCGCTCTCCGTCGCTAGGAAATGTCCCGACCCGACGGCGTGGAGCGATGTGAGTGGGCTGTATTTAATGGATAGTAGGATTTCATGCTGCTTCCTCACACGGCAAATATTGCACCACTTTGATCAAGCTGGAATTTCTTTCGCAGGGAGCAATTCTAAAATAGAGACCTTTAGATTTGTGAGCATGGACGACTCAGAGGTTTTTTTGCTTCTTCTCAGAAAATAGTAAGCCCGGAAAGTTTTATTGCAAGTTAGAACGGTATTTTTATTGAAGGAGTTTGAGCCTTCTCCCGATCGCAGAGTGATAAAACTCCTAACATTTGATAACTTATTTCCGCCTCCATGACATTCTCGCTAAAAGGTATAGTAGAATGACCGCGGCTGTCACGTTTTCCCGCCAAAATGATGTTGGCTCACGCCACGCACTTCTTGCCATTGAGAAAATCTCTTCCTTGTAGCCGTCCTCGTCTTAGAATCTAAAGGTCACTATTGAGAAACACTATTAATCTAGAAATGATTACTAACTGTAGTACTCTATTTCCTGTAGGGTAATACCTTCAATACCAGTGAGAGTAAGAAGAGACGTCATCGCAAGCGTAAAGGGTCTAGTACACCTGAACTTCTGCCTGATAGTCCTTTCTATGAAACGTCCAACGGACCCGAGCCTTCCCCTGAAAGTCATTCTAGTGCTGACGCGCCTAGGTCAGCGGGTGTTGTCAGTCGTACAGCGGGGCTGCTTTTCTCGAGTGCTCGTGGGTTCTTTGGTCGCCTTCACAATCCATGGAAACAAGCAAAACCCTCGACTGTGCATAGTGATCCCAATGTATCCGCAAGAAGCGAACTGAGCCAAGCGAGCAAAAGCTCGCCGAGACCAGATAATCCGGGTTTATCCCGAGCAAAGAGTCTGGAGTTAGTTCCTGAATACATCAATTCAAAAACCTGCACCACCACCACCAGCAGCACCGACCCTTTCTTCCGAGTTTGGCGTGATGTTGAAGCGCCCACCAGATTTTTATTACCCTAAGAAAGGCCCCGTAAGGAAGATTTTGCCTGGTCCCGTGAAATATGGGAAATATGGCGTGTTAGATTCTCAGTTGGCTTAACTAAGGCCCCTCGAGAACCTCACGCATTCCTCACTCCATGCTATTGAAAGTCCGTTTTTAAGGATGACTGGAGTATGAATTCGTTTGGTTTTCGGGGGTGCTGTTAGAAAACTACTTTGTGGAGAACCGTCAAAGTTATTGAACCTTTCTTGGTTTACAACCAAAGGCTCGTAATTGGTATACAAGTACAAAAATATCTTTGTTAAATTTTGTGGAAATACTTGACGAAAAAAAATCCCAAATCCAGTCGCAGCTTTATTCTTCTTGGCAAATCCTTGTTTGCTTTTACAGAACTACTGTAAATGCTTGTATTTTAAGGCGCATAGTTCTGTCGTTTACTTAAAACACGTAATTTGCCCTATAAAGACTGCTGCGGTCTTGCCAAAAATATGGTGGTCAAGTTGTTCCACTTACGGTTATGGTGAAATAGAATATTACTAAGAATAAGAATATTGTTATCCTAAGGCAGATATAAAAAGGAAGAATAAATAGAACGCGTCGTTTTGCTTGGTTTAGCAGTCATGGTCAGAGAGGTTGTCTTCTTTCAAGAATTTTGTCAAGCGTGCGACGTTTCACAACTTCCACAAGCATTTTTATTGTCGCACCAACTTCCAATGTATTTTCCGAAATCTGTTATGCCCTTTCTTAGAGAGCCCAAGTAGCCGGCTCTTTTACAACCCTCGTTTTTGACTCACGCTTAAATTGTCTCACTAGTTCGCTCTCCAGTCCAATTATGATATTTAATTTGTGCCGGTCCAATCAAAATAGCCCTCCTTAGGAAAAATCCTAAGGGGTTGCTGTATACACAGACTAGACAATTGGTTATTTATCAGTTAGCTGGTATGAGAAAAAAGATCTTGCACTACCTGTTTTGCCTTGTGCGACATGTCAGACATGTGATCAAGCACATGTGTAATTTGGATTAACCTTTTAGCACACAAAGATACCACATAATGGTCTCCCTTTTCCTCTAATTTGAATCATTAGACTGAATAGCCCGTCCTGTGGGGAACAGGGAGATTACTTTTCTTGAGATTCTCGGCGTATCACTCAGAAATGACCACAAACTCAGATAAAGTTTAAAAGCCTTTAATTTATTTTAAAGAATGACATCAAATATATAGAAACTGACAAAAGCTGGACATTAGTTTATGAAATAGGCCACTGTCAATATATCCATTGACGTCATGTCCTGAGAACACGAGGAAGAAGAGTGATGACTTTCGTTTCTTCTGGTTTTCTTGGCCTGGCTATGAGTTTGAATAATAGCACGATATATCAAAGTGACCCCATTCATACCGAAGCCCCTACAATATTTTATCTTACTCCTGCCATTCAGAAATTTATTATTATCATTACAAAATGAAGCAATATTATTATGTAAATACGCAATATGTATTAAATGAATAAATGCATAGTTGTATAAATTAACCATTGAAACGTTCTTGCTGGTGCTGACTTCGTTCCTGGCGTATGAGCCATTAAATAAAAGAATTATATAAATTATGCAGATCGAGGAGGGGTATCGGCTGAACGCCGAGGTGGATAACTTCTTTCCCGTCTCTGACCCTGATTGTGTGCCTTTAGCGAATAGTGTGTTATATATACTGACTTCCACATCAGACCTTAGCTGCAGAAATTGTAACAAAGGTTCCTGTATTGCTTATTGTATTGGCAGCATTGGTCGGAAATGGAATGTTATTTTTTTCCGAACTTCCCTGATAATCCGAATCTTCACTTTTCATACCCAGACGTGGGTTTCCCAAGTGATCTGCTAGTGACACTATTTGAAAGAACACAAGAATCTAAACGATAATCACTATAATTATTATTCAACACCAGCAAAGGTCTCTACAATAATTAAGCTTTTTTTCTTCTACTACCGCAATATTGTTATGGTGAACCGAAGTGCCTTTTATCACCTTACTCCTGATGTCACCTTTTTGAGTCAATAGTTCGTTTCTCCAACGTGACATGACATGTTTATAGCGAGTGGCAATGTTGTAAACTGACCTAGCCAATTAAAACGTTCGTAACATTGAATTGTAGCCACGGAATTATGTGGTAGGTTAATATCTGGCGTCTGAGGAACTCTGAAGGCTATGATCAGTCACACTATACCGGAAAGTCCTTGCACCGACACGAAAATGATACCCGATTTTGCTTTTGTCAGTTCACATAGAAGAAAGGTGATTTTCCGGCTATTTCTGTTAAGGAGCGAAACTGTGCCGCCGTCGATCTTGAAAAGTGGATCATTACATATCGGATAGGTTTCTGCCACTTTTCGTCGCAGTGTGAACAGGTTTTCAAGTGAAATGAGTAGGACCAAGCATAGGCTGGGACCCACCTGATATGAAAGTATATTTTTAGGAGAGAGCACTGTGATTTTAGAATACCAAACTGGTATCTCGGTCAACCGGCCGCTCTGGTACGATGTTCGATGTGTGTGGACGACTTGTTCCAGTTCTATACGGTAGTCGCTCATACTACCGGATACATTTTCATGTCTACACGAACAACTATTTCCAGTATAGTGTGGACAGGCTAAAAAAGTAAAAGAAGCAATCCGAACTACTAACAAATTAATAGTCATTTGTAGAGATGGAACCGATTTTAGTCCCTACAATTGTTATATTACCAGTGCTATTCAGTATTTTCTCGATGTCTTTCAAATGAAATTAAATATTATCAGGTATCTTATTGTAATAACCCATTAAACAGCTGTGCTCGTCATCTCAGTCCTGTTCCTTGCTGGGTGAGAGGACTCCCATATGAAAATGACAGGGTTGCTCGTCTCTCTTAGACGTAGACATTGCAGTTTTGGTCTCACTTTGACTGTGCAAGACAAAAAGCCAATATTTTTAACCATAAATGTATCACTTAACCCCCCTGAAAAAGGATGTAACTTTGTTGGCCAACAGCTAGCAACATTGTCCAACATTGTTGGAAGTTGTTGCGTCCGTTTGCGCGTAGCTTTAGGGTTGTGCGTAAAGAAATATTTACTATGAAAAGACGTTGTCTTAATGAGTTGGAGAGTGTTGTACTTTGGCTGCCTTTTGTGATCGTAACTGAGGAGACTGGTAATGAATACTGGCAAATTAAACAGTGAAGATCAAAACAACGGTGTTCAGTTTATGAGTATAGTTTCATGGTGTTGCAGACGGTGCAACTGCAATTATTGATCTACTTATCCGTCAAGCATTTCCTTCATATTGGAGTCCTCCTCCCCCCCGAGTCCCCTATAACAATCTAAAGAAAAAAATTAAACCATAGAGACCCTACAGAAATTACAGCTTCGTATCAAGAGTACTAGTTTTACTGGTGTTAGTAGCGGATGCCTCACGGTAATATGGCTGGTTCTGATCCAACAGTCTGAAATAGTAGTAAGGGGTATCTTCTGTCATCATCTCTTCCAGTATCGGTATTAGTTGAACGAATGAGGGTCGTTCAATTGGATCCTCCTTCCAGCAGTCCATCGTCAATTTGTGTCTGTTGAACAAGGAAGCCATAGTTTAAAATACCGCTACACAAAGATATGTCTCCATTTACTTTGAATATTGAAGACACTTATGTTCCATAGGCTCTTTTTAGAATGGGGCAACGTAAAGGAAAGAGGCGCGCTGCAGTTTCCACTCCTTTGAAAAGGCTGACAATTTAAGGAAAAAAAAACTGTTTGAAGGACTATGCAAGTATTTCTTCATCGTGCCTTCTATTCAGACGTCTGTTATTGTTTCTATTCTGACTTACATTTCATCGCTGCACGTGTTGGGTTTCTCCATCCGATATCCAGATTTAAGTAAACTGCATAGCCTCATGGGGCTTATCCCAGGGTATGGAGTACCCCCTAAAATAACAAAATAAAGATCAGTGCTGTCTTATCAAAGATTATCAGGCTTTTCTAATTTTTCATTTTGAAATCGCTGGTGATCCCTGAAATCTGATTGGCTCTCAGTAGTGTGATTTATTTACGAATCACACAATCACATCTGTTCTAAATCGCGTTATTTATGTTCTAAGCCACGTCGCACTGTCGCACCTTGCTTTATATCGCATCATTTCTGTTTCGAATACAAAATGAGATGTAAAAGCCCTTTTGTTTGCGCTTTTCAACAGGCTATTTGATCTGCCCACAGGCAAGTCCTTCCTTATGGTTCTCGATCTATTAAAGGCACGCCTCTTGACCGCTACCTAAGAGCTGTCATCCTTCACTCTATCCAGTATTTCCCGCTAGGGTCTTCCAGGGGGTCTCTTTCCTGGTATTCGTCCCTCAATAACTAATGGCACATGATCACCATGTAGTAGGGTATGACCAAGCCAGACTCTCTGTCTTCTGTTGATGAAAGATATGACCCTCTCCTCACCGACACGCCTCAATACTTCTTCGCTGCAGACCTTGTCAGACCAAGTGATGTTTAAGACGTTTCTCCAAAGCCACATCCCACAGCTCTCCAGCCTTCGCATGTCCTCTTTCTTCAAGGTCCATGATTGGGCTCCAGATGACAGTCTCTGTAATTCTCTTCTTCAGGCAAAGGCTGAAGGCTCTGGTCAGCAGTTCTTTTCTCTTAGTAAACGCGTTCTCGGGCTATTTTAGATGCAATTTCTTTTTCACAGGATCCATCCTGTGTAATAAGGCTTCCGAGGTAGTTAAAGTGCGGTTCTTAACTTAATTGTTTACCCTCAAGAAAGAGTGTGAATTCCTAAAGACCAGGCCTCTTACTGATTTTCATCACCTTGTTCTTCTTATTCTCCCGCGGTTTCCTGCATATTATCCATCATAAGTTACTGAACTGGCTATATAAGGCTGCTTGATCACTCATACTCAAAGCGCACTGTCTTTATGAGATGACCTCCTAATCTACTACCTTTATTCATACCGCTTAAAGCATCTCTTAGCATGGCTTCAGAGTATATGCTAAAGAGTTTGGGGGATAACAAGCAACCTTGTCTGGTACCACAGCCAATCACTGCTGGTACTGATTGAATTCTGCGATTTTAAAATGGCTGTGATAAAGTGATAATTGAACTTCGTGTCTTGTAATTAGGTCTGAAATCATACTTGTGATCTCAAATCGTACGATTCCAGACCAAATTGCTCTCCACTCAGTTCAATTACCATTATGTATTATCAATTTACAACTTCCGGGAGGCTTAAAAAATAATTACTGAGTGTTCATTTTGCTAAGTAACACGTGATATCAAGTCAAGTTCTGGTCAAGAGTACGAATTATAGGCTGGATTATTATGAGCCTGAGCTCCTCCCCGGTAAAGACAGCTGTCTCTTCTGGACAAGGAACAGGACCGGACCCGAGAGAGCGGCGGAAACTAGCCTATTATTTTTTCTAGTTGTTTAGCAATCACGACATTTTGCCACAATGAGGGTGCTGATGGGGGTACCCAATTCTCAGTTATCTACTGTTTTTTGGCCAAATATCAGTTAACTGCTAACCCCATTGGCACCCTCCAGAATGGCTTCTTTTATAAAGCTGTTCGATTCTCCCGTGGATCTGCTATCCTAAAACTGAACAGTCAGCTTTTCCCTAACTACTTTCTTGGGGGATTCCTCTCAATTCCCTCGGGTATATGACTCTAGAGATTATTATTCTACCAGCATCAGTATACAACGATTTATAAAACTAGCTTACCCATGGTGGCTAGTTCCCACAAAACAACTCCAAAAGACCATCTGCAATAAAGTAGCAGATAAACAAATAGCAAGAATTAAATTCATAGAAATATCAATTTTGCTCATCTCGCCCCATGGATGGTAAAAATTTTTGGCCGGAGTCATGGACTTTAGAATCCGGAATCCTGCTAACTATGAAATTCTGGAATCTGGGCCTTTTGAAATCTGGAATACACCGAGTTGGAATCCGGAATCTAGTATCTGGAATGCAGGATGTGGAGTGTGGAATCTGGGATCCAAGATGATCTCAGATTAACTTCATCGGTTCAAAGTTTTCAAGTTTCACTCCTGGAACAGGCTAATGTTCTCCAAACACTTGAGTATTTCTTTAGAGATAGAGTGATAACCGCAACTATAGACAGTGTCATGATCAAAATTGTGCTCTTTTTTTTTCCAGACAGTTCTAAACAGTACATTGCAGGGTCTGTGTTATCTAAAACCTCATCGTCACACTGCATCATGATCACAGGAAGCCCAAGTCCCAAGCTTGGCCTAACTGTCACCTCATTAACATATACTTACACGTCAGTCTTGAAAGTAAAAATGCCGCTTTCCAACGCTTCAGGTGCCATCCATTTCATTGGTAGCTTGTTTACGCTCGTAACTTCGTATATCTCACTCTCATTTGCGTGGCGTAATAAACCAAAATCAGCAATCTTCACCGCTCTGTCCTCACCAAGTAGGATATTACGGGCTGCCAGATCACGATGAATGAATCCTTTGCTGGCCAAGTATTCCTGGCAGAAAAATAACGAAAGTTAATTCTCAAACAATTTTTAGTTACCGTTACCTTTAGATCAACACAAATTTCCATTTGATTGGTCAATATGAAATTAAGGTGGAAGCTCGATTTTACGATATGGCAGGGGGATAGCAGTTTAATCGGGATATCGTTGTAAACGAACTCCCGATTTAACGATTTGGCGGGAAAAGTAACCAAGTGCAATGAAACGTCGGTTCCAGGCTCAAGATAGCTCGCCACCGCCCCCTTTTTCCTAGATCACGTGTTTATATTTTTCCGGTGGCTTACGCTTACGCGACATTCCCACTATCGAGAGCCTGGAACAGGCTACTGGAAGCTGTCCCAGGCAAACGGTCCGGAAAGCGGAGAGAAGTGATCGTCAGTCTATTCATGAAGAATGGAGGGAGAATTTCCGTCACAGAGTGTTGGAAAACGAAGAAACAAATAAGGGAATTGGCCAAGAAATCCCCGCGACGTATACTTTTCAGCACAAAAAACCGTCAAAGTTGAACAAGCTAAGTGAACTACTGTCGACTTCCGATAACTCGAACCCTTGCTAACTCGAATCCTGTGCAAACTCGAACCAAAATCGATTTCCCCTGGATTTCCTTCTTACATTTACTGTAATTTTACCCTCGGTAACTCGAACCCTCGATAACTCAAAACTCCCGCTGACTCGAAGTAATTTTTGTTTCTCTTCAGAACACTTCCATACAATTTTACCCTCCATAACTCGAAGGGATGAATATTGGCTGAAAAATAATGTTTTTAAGTTTTCAACCCCGGAAGAAAGCCCGTTGCTGTTTTTCAGGGAGACTTGGGGTGAGTGGAATAAAGCCCTCCTTAGACTGCCACGCCCGAAAAAGAAAAAAAAAACCCTATTGGTTCTTACTATACTGCTGATATCTATTTCGAAGTCACCTAAAACGCACACCTTAGTGAACATTATTCATTTAGAGATTAGATTTTTTCGTTAAAAATGTTCATTCATACAAATGAATATACAGCAATTATTGGATGAGGCAGCGTTATGTGGATCACCGGGAGGGTGTTATTTGCGAGACCAAAAAGCCATATATACAGCTGAGCCCCCAGATATATCAAATGAGCTTACAATAGTTAGCAAATACCATCATGGTGGCCGTTTACGAAAAGCAATCCTTTCAGCCATCAGTTCCACTTGCAGACCGTTTACTGTGATTTCCAAAATTCTGATTACTGGAGTATTTGTCTAGTCCTTGCTGCTCATCCAGTCCCAAAAACAAATTTAACCGTTGCATTTTCTTTTGTCTACTTCCTTTCTTTTGTTTCCCTCTACTTTTTGCTTTCTATTTTCTGTTATGGTGTGAATGTTAAGCTTGTAAGACGCAAATAAAATAACTAATAGTTAAGTCTTATTCCTGTCATATGGCTGTACTCATTAGACACCTTTTCGAAAATACAAACAGACCTGATTAATTTCAATAGGTACCTTCACAAACGGCTCCATGTGATTTTTTAGACTTCTCGGCCTTTTTTAAAATTAAAATCAAACGGCTCAAATTTACATGCGTTATGTTTCACTAGAAATTCAGCAAGATAGTAGTTAGCCCTATTATAGTCTGTTATAATTAACGCAGCCATTTGAATGCTTGAAAAATCTGCCGTCTCATGGGCATGACCGGATAGCATATACTTGCAGACACAGAAAAACTAGTAGTAATTAAAAGCATAAAAAGGGGACGAGGCAGATTTTTGTGATTTGCAAACGATGACTATATTGCTCAAGACATTTCAGTCGTAAAATTCCTTACCATCCCTTTGGCAATCTGCCACGCATAACATAAAACTTCTTTCCCAGAAGTGTCTTCATCTTCCTTGCCCTCACAACTGTCTTCTTTTTTCTCGATGGTGATCTTTACTTCGGCGTTTCTTAAAGGCTCAGCAGGAGTGAGCTCTTTTTCTTTGGAGAAATGGGCAATATTGATCGAAGGTAACACCATCACCGACGTAACCAGCCCCTTTTGTCCTTCATTTTGTTGAAATGACGTGTTGACATGGTCACTTTCTTCTTCCCCCTTGTCATCTTTGTAACCCAGGTTTGAGCAAGAAGGTCCCATCTCAGATTGAGGAGCATCGTTGATTAGAACTCCTCTCAGTTCATCGTCGTCCAGGTCGATTTTAATTTCCTTCGTCTCGCTGCAATGATAACCACCGTCTTTTCCACTTTCTTCATTATTTCTTTCCCTGTTCTCCTCTTCCAGGTTTTCATCCAGGACATCTTTTGTTTGCAGGTTCTTGGACACCAATTTCGGCCTCTCAGGAACAGGAGGCTTGAGCCTTTCAACGACATCACTTTGACGACTCTTTTTCAATGTAAACTGCAAAAAATATCGATGAAATGAATTCCGTCTGAAACAGTTTCGTCAGCAAAAGCAATTTCAACACCATCAGTTGGTTAGCCGAAATATTTTTACCCGTTCCAAAGGAATCTCTAAGAATTGAAAGATTACTATGCAGATGTTCAAAAACTCATTAATAATTCATAACCCATTGAACTATCAAATGGTCGATAATACGTACATCACGTTCAGTGACATTATATCTGATAAAGCCTTCCCTTATTAGTATGAGGTGTTTTATCAGATATAATATCACTGCACTGGCCTGTAATCATTAATTATCTGCACATCAACTGACACAACAAATGGTGGCTGAATATTCAATGTTCTTTCAAATTACGAGCAGCTCCTACAAAACTGAAAATAAGCTACGCAGTAAATTTACTATTGTGCAAATTAAACTTTGTTCTTTCACCAGTTTAATCACTCAGGCCACTTAAGGCATGACTACCTAATTAAATATGCATATTTTAGTAAATGCTATTTGGAACGGTTTGCTTCCATCAGTGCTCCTGAAAAGTGAACTACAAATGTGTCTCAACGAAAAAAACACGTGAAAAGTGATTTCAAATAACACGTAACATCGCTTCGTCAATGACGTAACAAAACACGTTTTCCTAAACGGGGAAGGGTTGCAAACCTTAATCTTAGGAATTTTCACTACCAAAATTTTACATAAACAGTGTAAATCGTAAATTTGCCTTGTATGATTGGAACTGTTATTTATCCTATTAGCTATTTAACTAATTAATAAGTCGCGTGACCCTTTCCCTTTATTTACCGATTCCTATATAACGTAAACACACATACAAGGCGAATTTATAAGAACCTTTTTAATAGCCTCTGAATTGTACCTAAAAGAACTTGTTGCCCTTCATTATCCTTTCCCCATTTTAGAGTAAATATTTTGGCCGTTAATTCTCAATTATCAGTCACGTGACCAAAATTTGAGCTTCTAAAATGCACTCATATTGCTAAGGCCATTAAGCTACATTTTTACTTCAATTTTCAGGATCATTAATAGAAGCAAACCGTTCTAAATAGCGTTTTATCAAAATATGCATATTAATTAGATAGTCATGCCTTAAGTGGCCTGAGCAGCCAAAAGAGCAGTGACTCAGCGGTGATATTGGCTATAGCAGTGTCCAAGCATTTTACTCAAGACTTCATATTCGGAATAACAAGGCTCGAGTAATGGTTTTTTGTTTACCCGCCTATTCGGCCATTCCAGAATTAAAGTTTTTCGAAGACTACTTTTTCACTGCACTTGTTGACTTTGGAGTACCATTTTCGAATAACTTCCTCTCTTCCTCGGCATTTTTAGGCTTCCGAAAAGGTCTGGAACAAGACGCCATGTCCTCTTCGATTAGTGTCGTTTGTAGACTGGAAAATTTCTAAACACGTGCAAGATTTGATTTACTTACTTCTCACATAGGGTAAAATGTTGGCTTAGGGGAGGGATAGGTGGGCAGTTTCCCAGAAACCTAAACTGATTGTATCTCCTTACGGGGTCAGGCTTGACTTAATGAACTCATTGTTGAACACAAAGTTTTGACAATGTGTATTTACGGAACCCCGTTTTCCAAATAAATGAATAGCATCTAAACAGAAGAAGGTCTGACTGTATAAACGCATTTGGAAAAAATACAAATATCCGGTTGCATTAATATTTACATTTTTAAGCGCATCTTCACTCTTTGAGAGTGACTAATTTGCAATGTCTGCCTGACTTCTGCCATTTTTATTATTTTCATCCCAAAAGTCAGACAAACTTGACATTTTAATGACAAAAAGACGAACAAAATTGAGGAATTCGTTTGTCTGAGTTTCAGTTCTATAAATAATACCTGTGCGCAGCGCTATTCCGAATGGAGAGCAGGGATTTTTTAAACAGTTGATAAAGTAATAATACCTGTTTCCTTTTGTTTCTGAGCCATTGAAGAAGATCTCCGTTTGGAACATATTCCATGATTAACATAATGGGAGGTGATTGGATCCAGTAGCCGAGCATGCTCACAATATTACGGTGTGTTCCGACTTCCTTCATCAGCTCAATTTCCCGAACTAACTGCCGTTTGTCCTCCTCCGTGGAATTTTCTGAAAAAAAAAAGACATTTCAAGAAAATCCAGCAACAGTGACCTACGTAAATACTACACGATATCAGTTAGTACTAAAACAACTAAAACCAGATGTAAAGATAAAAAGAACTAATTAAAATGAAAGTATATTTAAGCTACGAAAATAATACACAGTCAATAGCTCAGGTCCTAATTTCTGCTTGAGAAAAAAAATCTATTTGCTAAAAAAATGGTTCCCTAAGTTAAGTGGCGTTGATAAAACAAAGTCACAAAGAAAAACTGTCAGTTCTCTTCATCTAGCAATCGCCAATCACGCTTTGTAACATGATCTAATACTGGATGATCTTCTAGTCCGGAAACTTGACTCTTTAATTTTAGACGCCACTTTTTATGTGTGCTTTAATTGCTCCTCTGTTCTCGACCCACGGGTACTTTATTTCCAGTAATATGACTTTCCTTGAGTGTACATTTGTAATCCTAACGCATCTATCCAACTGGCTCACTTTCATTGACTCTGCATAGACAGGGATATCCCAGTATGCTTTTGTAGTTGAGTTTCACCAAAGGTTTTCGGTTCACCGTCATCGTCATCAAATAAATGTTTTAAACTTAAACGACTAGAAAGCAGTATCTCTTAACATTACAAAAACGAAAAATTGTTAAACAAAACTACGAAATAAAAATAACGCTTTGAGGTTTTTAAAGGATTAAGATTGCTCTTAGAAGAACGAATATTCAAACTCCATTTTACACTGTATGTGCTCTGGAGAATCATTGCAAAGTTTAGAGGCACAAAACGAAAAAGCATGATCGCCCGATAAAATTTTAGCCTTGATCTGGGTGTCACTATGCTAATTCACAAGTTCATGGTTGATGATCGTGAACTCCTAACAGACTTGTAAGTTTGAAACAAATGACGATTACAGCTCGGACATGAATAATTTAAAATCCGCTACTCATGCTCCAAGGGAAACCAATGTAATTCTCTAAGTAAAGCTGCAATAATGTGGTCATATTTGCAAACACATACGATCAGATAAAGTTCTCAAGTGACTGAAACATGTGAATAACGTATTTCGAAAGATCACATAGGAGAACGACCAATCTACACATTACGAAGGCATGCACTAACATTCTTTAAATCTGTTATCATGTCACAGCTAGCCTTGAGAAGTGATCATGCCGGCATGCTCTGTTTTGCATTTTTTATATCTGCCGTGGTTTTGTTAAAAGATGCCCGCTCGGTTTTCGCTTGAACACGGGCATCGATGTAAGCGCTATATACCTTTTAGTACATTTAATGCGACATAATCTCGAACCTAAGTGTAGACCACTTATAAAACGACTAACCTTGGAGCACACCTTATCAATGTTCTGATTTCACTGAAGGTTTTTATTTCCACTTTAATTTGTGTGGTAAATTGCGAACATTCAGGGAGGTCATTAATATAAGTAGAAACTAAATTTAAGATCTAAAATGGGTGCCTGACGTACATCACACTGTTATTGACTGGGGCATTGAGATGCTGTTTTCCACGATATAATGTTTGCCATCTATTGGAATAAATACTCGAACCTGTTATAAGAGAGGCTCTCTTGCCTGTTATTTAAAATATGAATCACTCCTGTGAATAGCGTTTGCTGAAAGAGTAGGTTATCTTTTTGCCATATTCTGAATTAACGCACCTGGTAGAACTTTTGTAGCAACAATGCGTCCCTCATGCGAATCCAAACTGTGATCCTTGTGTTTGGAGGATGTATTCGTTTCAGGTATCCCCCTCATCACGCTCCTGAAGACTCTTCCAAAAGCGCCTCGTCCCAGTTCCTCCATGATAGTAACCCGCTCGTGTGGGACTTCCAGCAACATAAACTCAGCAACGTCAGACTCAATGGACCTAAAGAAAATAGTGCAAATTAAATGTTGATGAAACTCGGCGTCATTAATCATGGGCTTGTGGTAATACTTAAATCAGAGATGGCTTTCTAGTTCATAAAAGGTGATAAAAGTTACATTGCCTTAGTGTGTAAGGAAGGTCACTCACCAGCGCGAATTGACTGAGTGGGGCAGACACTAAAGACACACAGACACTTACACAGGAAAAATATCGTCTATTTCCGCATGCATATCATTATCATAATACAAAGCATTCATGTAGACAATAACATTTTCTCAAATACCGTTCATTCCTCTTTGCTCTCTTACGGTAGACAATTATCCCCACCACCAAAGCAGAAAGAGCCACGGAAACTCCCAACACTATCCAGAGTATAGGAGCACCTGTAGGAGAGTAAAATCGTAAGAGCCTCTCTGGTCACTGAGGGATACAAACAATCGTAAATGTAAAGAGCTGTTGATATATATAAACATGGTCGGAATAAGTTTCCCAGTAAACTTATAAACGGAATAAGCTTCTTAGGAACTACTTCTCGTTTACGACTCGTTATAGTTTACAGGCCTCCATATTCTGTAATTTTTAATGGTGTACTAGTGAGCAGCACACTTACACTTCCAGTGAACATTTTCACTTGGAAGAAGGAGAAACCATGCTCGCCCCGGGCAACGAAAATTTTCGTGGCCCGGGCGAGAATCAAACTCGCGACCTTCCGAATACTAGATCGGACGTTCTAACCACTGAACCACCAGGGCTCTAGCGTTAGTGAAGTCGGAATTCTACTATACCAGCAGAGTGTACTACATTTCTGTACTGGGAGCTGAGTGCATTGCACTTCTATGCCCAGTTTCTCTTGTGGCTTCTGCTAGTTTCAGTTAAGTAATTTTTAATGATGTATTAGTGAGCAGAACACTTACACTTCCAGTGAACATTTTCACTGGGAAGAAGGAGAAACCATGCTCGCCCGGGGCAACGAAAATTTTCGTGCCCCAGGCGAGCATGGTTTCTCCTTCTTCCAAGTGAAAATGTTCACTGGAAGTGTACGCGTGCTGCGCACTAGTACATAATTAAAAATTAAAGGAGACGCTCTCGCAGCCGTTTGACGTAAAATGGGGTGTCCCTCAAGGTTCTTGTCTCGGACCGGTTTTGTTTACTATTTATACACAAGATTTGTTCTCTAAATGCTAGTGCTCGTTTAATTTATTGCGCCCCAAAGTCGTGCCATATCATGCCTCTGCTTCTCGAGCTACATTGGTTACCTGTTTGCTACCGTTTTGAATACAAAATATTACTCCATACATTTGAAGTTTTGCAAAATGTTTCAAAAAGTTTGCAAAAAGTCTTTCGGACGGAATGTTCCAAACGGAAATTCATGTTCCATTTCTTCAAAGCCATCTTTGATACCAGATTCATGCCTTTGTTGTCGTTTCTCGGGAAATGGAACTGAGTTGAACAAATGACAAACGCTATTTCGCGACAAAATTTAGCAGTCCTGCATTTTGCGTACCATTTACCGAAACCGTCAATTGACTGGTTTGCCCACTTAAATGGTAAACGCAACAACCGAAGTCTAAAACAGCGATTGTGTCACAGCAGGTTTGTCCTGCTCGCTTAGTTTTGCCAATTTGGGGAAGGGTGGGGAGGGGAGAGACAAAGTACTCGGCCAGGCTGACTTTGACCATTCATAACTTTGAAACGATAAACAAAAATCTATCCATCCAGATGTCTTCCTAAAAAAATTATATTCTCTGGTATAAATCATTTGCCCTGAAGATTGACGCTTCCACAACCATCTCTATCTCGAATAATGAATAAATAAATAAACTAGGTATACCTATCGATAGAGTGCCAACGAGCAAATCATGCGTATTTTGCTTAGGAATAAAATTCCTTTTTTTCCCCATCTGACCGTTTCTTGGTCCATTCCTGTTGCAAGGATTGTTTTCTTGAAAAGTTCTCAGATTCAGTCTGGTGGCTTTACAAACCTGCTATGTAAAAGTGTGAAGTGCCTTGAAAGAATAAAGTCAGCTTTGCAGAGGAAGCGATCGGGAATATTATTAAGTCCAGCTACAAATCTACTGTCGGTTCGGTTTCACATTGTTGATAAATATTTGCACAGTTTAATCATTTAAACCTCCTTTCAAATTTCCCGAGGCTTTTTGATATCAGATTGAAACTTAGAATGATTCGCTGGGCCATCTGAAATGTTTCCAAGGACATGCGATGTACGGCACGGCGGTATTTAATTTTAGTTCATTATTTTTATACTGAACTCGGCCAGGTTTCCCAAAAAAATGGCGTTGTTTTCTTTTCCTTTGTCGTTCGCTTTAGGCTTGTAATTCGTTTTTGTTCTCATTGTTTTTGTTTGCTGGTTAGATTTTTTCCCCAACACTAGACTTTCCAACAGAAGCGACTGCATTCTTCGTGTCAAGCTTTCCTTATCTCCTCGTGTAATGTGATCCTTTTTAGTGGTGAGAATATTGCTTGCTACACATAGAACACTTTTGCTGTTTTACAAACTTCTCTTCGTTAAAACTTAACATTATGGCCCCTAAAATTAATAGAATATATCAAGTGCTCATGTCTCTTGACTGCGGTGGCCGGGTTTGACGAAAAAATTTCGGTCAATAAACACAGGAGGTCACGACGGCTGGAAGTGTGTGAAATTTTGTTTGTTATTCAACTTGAGCCCGTGCGCCAGGTACTGCCTTTTGATTGGTTCACAACTGACCACTTGGTCTCGGGGGAATCTACATTACATTGGGTTACACTTTTTTCAGCTCGATCGAGAATTTTTCTGCCTATTGCCCAGTCTTACGCGGCTCTATTCTGCTGCCGCCTCGCCATCCGAGCGTCTTCGCTCGGATGGCTCGTTGGCAATAAATATTAAGAATATTTTAACAGGATCAAAAACCCAGCAGTGTATAAAAACACTGTTGTCGTCATCAATGGGGTCCTTTAAAAAATAATCAACTAAACTTTAGAAAGGTAAGAACAGGATACGATAGAACGCTTGATGACTATGAGTATAAGATAAATGCCAAAAGACTATGACTATACTATGGTTAAAACGATCGATAAACGTTTAGTGCTTTTAGCGCTTTCTTAAATAAAATTCTCTGGGAGTTCACTAAAAAGCTTGGCTCCTTGATAGTAAAAACTCTTTTTCCCACACTCGAGGTGGACTTTAGGCAATTTTACTGTGAAAAACCTGCCAGAACCAGTCTTTCAACATACGACTTAGGCTACGCTCATACCCGGTACCGCACGAATTTTCGACCGGTCAAAAATTCCTGCGATTAGGTGTTCCCGGGGGGGGCTGGCAACGGCCTTTGATCTTGCCGCCTTTCGGCTCTCCATGATCGCCCCAGGGGTAGTACTTGGTGTAAGACTGCCCAAAATGTCGCAGTCTTACACCAAGTACTACCTCCCCCGCTGCCCCCACTTAAGAAATCTGTCAATCATTCGAGAACTGTAGCGAGCATGCGCGAAACGGGCTGGGAACAACAACAAGAAGTTCGTCTTCGCAGCGATTCGACAGTGTAAAGTGAATTCGCTTTTGGTCCTGTTAGTCATTGTTTTCTTTGCTGTAACCGATTTTTTCGGCAGTAATGTCGAGCTTACGTTTTCCTTTCTTCTGGTCTTGCGGTTGGCATTACATGCGGTTTACTACGCTAAGAACAAGACCAGTGAACAGTTACTGTACATGTTCCTCGATGCCCGACCTTTTGGCTCACTACAGGCTTTCAAGCTGTGTTTCTGTTAAAAAGACCCACAAGACTAGAAGAAGGGCCAACCCTCCAATGCGTATGTAGAAGAGTTTATATTTTCAAGTGAAAGGCCGAAAATTAATCCTTCGTGATATTAAAAAAAGCGCGGTGGCCGTGGTCAAGTAGTTGTTTACGGTTTTATTACACCTTTAAGACGAAAAGAAATGATGATTGAGATTCTTAATTCTTCATCCTTGTTTGTGAACTTATCCTGGCAGAGTTTTGCGTTGGATGATTGAGTGGCATATGGTCAAATCTCGTAGTTCATGTATTTTGTTATGTACCAGAAGCTAAATAAATTTTGCCAAGAGATCATTCACTCTTGATATGATCTTGTCTTCGTGTGATTTAATTTAAACTTTACCCTAATTTCTAAGAAATGAATATAGGCAAATGAAAGGGTAATTATTTTGTGTGTTTGAAATTTTCTTTTCATGACAGCAGTTACTACACTGCCTTCAGTTTCAGTCCTCATTCCATTGTGTTTTGTTTTGTTGCAAACAAAGAGGAAGAAATTATAAATATTTTATTCCAAAGACTACACTACCCACTGGAACGAGAGTATGGTTTAAAAAAGATTAGCTAAGCTCAGAAAATAGGTGTTCAAGTTTGCATGTTTGACAAGGACTACACCTGGCAAAATATGCTTCAAAGGGAATGTACAAAATTTAAAAAATTATTGCATGTCTATTTTTGCCTTTCCTTTGGCCACTGAGATCAGTTTTTGCCATATAGTTGCATGTAATGTTTTACACCTATGGACATCAACCTGCCAGGTTAGTGTGTGTCTGTGTAAAAATGTAGTTCACTGTTAATGAAATCAAAGTAAACCCTCTCAACTTAAAAATTGTCTTATACTAGTGGATATTGAAAACACCATAGGATGCCATGGAAAAAAGTGTAAAATGATTATTAAGAAAATATTATTTGCAGTCAACAATAACAGTTAGAAACTTGTGTTGAGGCTGGCAAAAATATTTTTCAGCGACCATAAACCTTCACTGACTTTGCTGTTACAACAAGTGGTAAAAGGGAATTAAATTTGGGCTTACACTGAGAGAGAGTATGGGTAGTAGGACACATTGTGCATTTCCCTACCCTTTTTAAGCCAAGAGACCTTATTTTATAATCCTGATTCATTTCCTTTAGCATACAGAATTAAGGTAGCTTTTAAACTTAGAAACATGGCAAAACTTGGGGGAAAAATGGTGGTACCCATAGACTGTACTCTATAGACCACAGTGAGTTCTTCTTCAACCTTCACAACCCAAACAGACACCTTGTTCAAGACTCTAAAGGGTGAAATGGTCACCACCCTAAATCAGCAGCACATACCCATCTAGGCCAAATAAGCCAAGGGTAGTATCGTAGAAAGAACTGCTGAGAGGATAAGGCTCAAGCCCGACAATAACTTCTTTTGATGGTTGATAAAAAATCAACTTTACCTTGAATAATTTAGTTGTAAATCAGATTCATAACTTACACAAACATAAACTTAAGTTGTATATTTTTCAAGCCTCTTCTGATTCTCTTTATAAACTTTGCAAAACATTCGGTTTTCCTTTTTCTGTTTCTTGTACTTCAGTCCTTTGAGGGATTTTCCCAACGCATACTCTTTCCTGATGTACTCACTCTTATTGGCAACTGAATTAGCCTGTTGTCCCCTCACTAAACCACTATAATCCTTTCAAGTATAATTCATAACTAAAGGGTAATTTTTGTACCAACAATTTCAAGGAAATACTTGAAACCGAAGTCACTATCTAATACAAAACTACTAAATACGGTATTGCTGTTGGAAATCATCTCTCTTATTGATTAATTGTCACTCCAATGACATTCCAGTGAAGGTTTTGAAGGTTCAGTAAACCCCTCCCAGCCTTCTGATATTAAAAATAGCTTATAGTGACAGACCCAGTATATGTGAAGCAAAGTGACTGGAACATTTACCCTGGTTTTTACTAAATTAGCCTTGTATTCTGTATTTACGCCCATAAATATTTGTTGCGCCTCCCGATGTACACAAACAAACTTACGAACAGCCAAGTAGAAAATCAGTGGTTTAATGAACATTCACATATGACTGTTGCAAGACTCATACCAATATATTGTGCTCCTAGGATATGTTTAAGATAAGGAAGAGAGTCTTAATACCACTGTAAGTGGAAAAATATAAGGGATGGAGCAAAATGGTCGCTCGAAAATTCACGAAGCTTAAAAATTAACTGAACTTGCCGAGATCCCGATTCACGATAAGTGAAGTCAACCAAGAACTGTTCATACATCACGCCTCCTGATGTCCAAAAGGTCCATTAAAAAAGTTCATAGAAACCTTTCTTGATATTTGTCCGCGGGAAAACTTAAAACCGAGCAAAAACTCATCGCCCTTCCATGTCTGCATTCTCCGCCATATTTGTTTTCAAGGAAAACTTGTACTCAGTCTCACTCGGCCGAATTTCTTAACTGGGGCGATCATGTAAACTCGGTTCCAGACCTCACTGCCAGCCCCCGGTGTTCCGTTCACACGGAACCACACTAACAGTAAGAAAATTTAAATGCCTAGCTAGCCGTTGAAAACTGTGAACGCTAAAATCGGGGTCAAAGTACGGTTGAAAATTTGAACGGCAAGGTGTGTACACCGTGACCGACAAAATCTTTTCACGGCAAAGGCGTGGCTGCATGGATGCGTGTTTACTCAGCTGGAAAAAGACAGGAAAATAGCAAACAGATATTGCGTACATGGGTTCACGAGTCATGTTATTTTCTCGCTTTGCTTGGAAATATTACGGCTCGACAGTTCCGTAACAACCGTGCAAAAATATTGGACGGTTTCGTGTGAACAAAGTGTCCAGTCAAATTTTTCAACCAGTTGAAAATTCGACCGGCACCATATGAACGTAACCTTAAAGGAGAAGCAAACATTGCCAGTTGACCGCTTTTGCACTAAATTGTGATTTTCTTAAGAAACCTTCCTAAAAAGCTTTTTTACCTCTTTCACTGAAAGTGGCTTGGATATAAGAAAATGTGAAATACTATAGAACAATTTTGATATATTCAAATTCATACTTGAGGCACAACAATGAATAATACATTTCTTGTATTTTATTCCCCCAAGGTATTGAGTAGGACTTTGATATATTGAAATTGGTCTCTTTTTGCCAGCTTCACCGTCAATTTGCCAAATGTAGAAATGCAGGCCAGTTAAGATGGCCATGAGCATTCAGCGTCCTGACAGGCTATGAGGACAACAGTCGCTTAACGTTTAAAAGTTACAGATAAAATTCCAGTAAGTGGAGGCTAATCTGTACATTTTTATTGTTATTGAACATCAGAGGGCTTTGTTGTGGTAAATTTCCGTCTTAATCTGTTTTACTGCCCACTTGAGTTATGAATGAGCTAAGAGCTTCCCTAGAGGTCTACCTCTAGCAGAGCAGCAGAGGTTCAACTGGATATGGTTTGGTGTCAATACCAAAACCTATCAACTATTACTAAACATACGAAAGGTAATATCGCACCTGTAGAGCGGGTTTTAAATTTCCAAGAGACTGACCAGTCGCTTTGAACTCCTCCAAACCAGGAAGACACTCCAATCTCATACCCTTTGTCGCATTCCAGAGATAAAAGATGAGAGGTGGTTGAAGGAACCTTATATTCTGTCCAGTCGGCCTCAATGCCTAGTGGCTTTATCTCCCTAAAGCGTACAGTGCTCTTTGTTATAGTGCATATTTCTTTTCTACTCCACGTAACAGTGACTTTGCAACCATGTATTTCCGACTCTTCGTTGTTTATCACGGGTGCAATTGGTTTGCCTTTAAATAATGAAAATAATACTGCGATTACTTAGTGATTTCCACTGATGTACTTGCAGTGATAGATGAATGTAGAAAGGTACACTACTAAACCTACAAAACTGTCTAACAACTACAAAAACTGAAACGTGAATTAACGACCAGCACGCTGACGCCCATTCTCATCCCCAGAGCCACTAGGTTTAATTTGTAACGAACCAGTGGCTCTGGACGCAAGGGAAAATACGAATTTTTTCATTGGCCTTTCATGTCACCTTTAGTAAAACATCTTCTAAAACGCAGG